TAGTGGTAGTTGCCCTTGGGGTTTGATAGAATCGTGGGACCAAGCTAGGAAGGAGAAATATGAATGGTGAATGACTCAGAATGAATTGTTTCTCAGTTTTCCTCAAGTATAATCTATGCGTTTAAAGTTATCCTCGAATTTCCTGAGGAGTGTGGCAAAGGGAGACTGCAGAGGGGAGAGGAAAAGGACCATCGAGTTGACCTGTTGGTGAAATTGGATTGTTGCATTCGGAGTTGTCGGTAGATAAAGATCTAGGTCTAGGTGGTCATATCGAAGCGATGAATCTAATAACATTCCACTTACCATCAACAAATCTTTTTTATCGGCTCGTCTTGCCCAGATCACTCCAATGATGTAAAGACCAAGAATGGTCGATATCAAAGCCAGCACAGCAACGTTCTCGGCAAGACTGCCAAAATTTTGGAAAACCGAATCAAAATCGATCGGGTTTGGTGCCACAAGTAGATCACTGCCAAACGACGTCAGATGATCACAATAGCACACGATGGTCTCCTTGTTCGTTCCTGGGGCCACCTACGCGGAAAAAACAGAATGGATTGAATGGACTCTGTTCTTTTATAGTAATTAATATAACAGGTATAGTATTCATTTAAGGCCTCACCCTGCAACCGTCGCCGGTCCATGTTTCATTCTCAACGTCCCAATGCATACAACTCGATTCAAACATCGTCGAATTATAGTTTGGAGTTTGGTTGGGGAAAAAGAACTTTCCATCGAAGCCCAGATTGTCCGCCACCAGGATCTTGATCGGTGGCTTGTGAGTCGGCTTCGGGGGCGCGGGGGGAACGATGACACAGGAACGGCGAACACGCCTTGCTCCCACCTCGCACGAAACAGAACGTCTCTTTCGAGAGGCGGACCCCGCGTCTAACTCTTCGTCACTCGATTCGTTGAGATATTGGATATGTTGAACAGCTGGAGAACGAGTAAATTTATTGTTTTCACTGTTTAAATATCTTCTGAAAAATTCTTTTGAAACTTAATCATGTTCAAGTATTTTCTTAAGGTTACTTACCAAAGCAATGCTTTCCTGTGTCATTTAAGTCTTGATTTGATACAAACACTGTATAAGGGTCTCTTGAACAATTTTTCAAGTCCACAAGGATGGCCTGACCGAAATTGTGATTGTGTAATATTTCTGAATTCATGATAGTTCCTTCTGGGACCGAACAGCTTTTGAGATCAGGAAGGTGGTAGGACAAATCAAAATCTCCCGACTTTATATCAGGTTTACCGCCACTTTTTAAATATACCTAAAATGACGAAAGAAATATTTTCACGGGTCTTAAAAATTGCTGTTCGCTTGTTGGGGTAGAGGGGTTAAGGATTAACTTTCCGAACATCTTGATTGTCGTTGTTCACAAGAAGCACTTATATAAAAGCAATGATGTACCTTTAGGTGTATTCCAATTTCATCAGGATGAATTTCAAAATTCATCGATGTATAATTACTGCTTCGGTTGAAGCAATGGTACTTCAAGTATTCTTTTGTACTTGCTGTCGAGTTTGTCTGACTTGGTTTCATGTAAAAGCCGTTAGGTTTTGGGAATTGACTTGCATTGCGAGCCACGGTTATACCAGCTTCTTCGCTGAAGTTGGACGACGAAATATTCATCTTGGAGTCAATTACTATGTCGACTACATCAGAAGTGATTGTTTCACTCGTGTTGTCCCAGTTGAAGGGATTTTTGTTGAAAACTGCGAGCTAGTATGAGAAAGATAGTTGAGGTAGTTAGCAAAGTTACAGACTATGTCACCTTCACTATACCACACCACACCACACCACACCACACCACACCACACCACACCACACCACACCACACCACACCATACCATACCATACCTTACCCATAGGCATGTACCATACTGCAACGTACCTTTATATGAATAGGTTGCATTTGGAGAAAAGTGTTGTTCGGATTATCGATTACTAAAAAATTACAGTCAAATTCATAAGTAAAATTTCCAACCAAATTTACACAGTTTTTTTTTACTTCAATAAATATTGAACCAATTGGCTTGAAGTATAGCTAAGCAGTCAAAAAACTCACTTTCTTTCATGCCAAGTGCATTAGCCGATGGAGGATGAAAGTCGCAATTTTTCAAGATGTTCTTCTTTTGACCAAAGTCCTTCACTTGAACCAACTCAGCTTGAATTGAAAATGTTTCTGTTTCAACGCTCAGGGGACCCTCGCTAGTGACCAAATTATCGACAACGATGTTTTGAAGATTGCCAACAATGCCCGTTGTACGTTTAACTTGATTCTACAATAAGTATAGTCGAAGAGTTTGACGTCTGTATTCTAAAAGCTCATCGCATTCTCAATTGGGTGCTATTTAAATGAGTTGCACACATATGCAGAGATTGCGTTCTATGAAGCAACAATTGACATACAGAATCGTAAAAGACATAGAGAATTGTAAAGTCATTAACTAATTGTAAAATCTTACTGGAGATAGTTCAGTTTCCTTTGTTGAACCATTATTTATTTGTCCGAGAGATCCAAGAACAAACCCGAGTGATGTCACAATTTCTTCAAACCCATTATCTTTGTTTGAGAGTTCCTTCAAATTCCCAGTTAAAGACCTGCATATATCAAGTGCAGTGTCCTTAAGAGAAAGAGGAATTCCTATTTCAAGACGGTTGAGTCAAAATAGGGATAAGGTCTTCATAAACCCAATGATTGATTTACATCAGTTCTTAAATATCTGAGTGGATTTTATCGAAAGAATCAGACTAGAATAGGGGGCATAAGCTACTTTTTTATAAAAAACGGACAGGAAAATGATTTGAATCTCGTTGAAGGCAAAATGATGCCTTACCTGACTATCAGGTGTAAGCTCATCTGGTTCTTTCGTTAAAGTGAAAATCGTAGAGGAGACTTGCTTCATTGCGGAGGTGTCCTTTATAGACATATTAGCGGATGAAATGCTTTTAAGAACTGTTTCCTTCACCTAAGATTTAAATAAATGTTTTAATACTTAAGTCAATCGAATATCTATTGTCGACGTCAATTTCTCACTCATTTTGCAAACCAAAATTGGACAATTTTAATTTAGAACCAAGTAACCTTGCACAGACGAACTGTTTAGCGAAGGATACGTACCTGTGCCGATGATATTTCAGAGCTGTTATTAGTTGTATTTTTCTGAGCGATGTGATTTAATATTAACCCAACTGTTGAACACAAGCTCAAGGCTTTCGGGCTTCTTTTTGATCCGAAATAGTGTTGAAGTAAGCTGTTTTCTCCCGACACCAAGCCCAGAATTCTGTCCATGTCCAGGCTTGTTACTGGTGGAGGAAGTACCTAGGAAATATGATGACTTTTTTAAGCAGTTGTCACCCCGCGGTGATAAGATGAGGGAAATGGCGTCGGACAATGGAAACACAAAGGCCGAGTTAATAAAAAATTCATCTGGCTAAAAAAAACGCATCTCAAAATATAACTGATCAAGCTTAGCATATCTTGGTATAGCTGAGCGAAATTGGTATAGCTCAAAGCTGAGAAGCTTAGTAAAGCTAAGCGTAAAGCTGACCAAGTTAACCTGTTGTTTATAATACAGTTCATTGTTTTTAAAGCTTATTATTAATACCATAAGCTCTCAGTCTTCGCCAACTTTCATAGAGGTTTAAAAGTTGTTTGCATTACCTGAACCGTCATGATATGTCTTGATTTTGAGCCAAAGAAGTCTTTAACAACCACAGTAACATTCAGTCTGTATTCATCTCTCTCGTCTCCTATCCCAAGCCAATCTGTTTCACTTATACTCCGTCCAGGACTAATCGTACGATAGAATAGTACGACTTTGATCCCTCCTGTTTCGTAAAAGAACTCGTAGGAAAGAGGCGCATCCTTATCAATCCAGTTTTCACAAGAGATCGTAAAGTTTGTCTGCGCGGCCAAACCAGAAAATGGGAAAATGGAACAGTTTCCTTGAAAGGTATACAAATAAATCTTCAGAATAAAAAAGGCGACGTTTGTAAGATAGAAGGGAGTTTGTAAGATAGTTAGCAGTGACTACGAGTAAACAACCATGAAAGCCCTCTAAAATTGCTACCTGTGTCCAGAAATGAACAAATATACTTTACAATGCACTTTTGCTACTTAATGGTAGGAAAACACCCAGAGGGAGGATGCTGGATAAACCATCCTAAGGGAAGATACAAAAGAACTCTCCCCGACGGATGACACTAAGGAACTCCCTCCCCCGAGGCATGACACTGTGGAAGCTCCCAGAGAGATATTGATTGTTTAAACAATTTCATACCGTTCTTAGGAGGAGTATTTACTAGCATTGTATGCCTCATTTCGCCGAATACACCACTGGCACGCGTCGCCCTGAAACTCAAGATGTACTTCTTTCCAGGGTGAAGAGAATATGGTTTGATTCCCATATCCAGCTCGTCGATAGGATTAACAGCCATTTGCTGAAATTCGTCATTTGTAATCTCGTTTAATTCCGTCAAGTTGTAAGGCTCTGGGGTATGAATGTCATCGTATAAGAACAATTGCCAACCGAATTTCAGCGCCCCATAACAACGTTCATCGCACGAGGATTTCAGAATGATCTTCTGGTCATGGACGACTTTCGATTTGCAGTTCTTGTTGCAACTGTAAGTTTAAGAAATAAACCAGTACAAATGAAGTCACTTAGAAACTATACTAACCGTAATTTGAATTTATATTTCTGCATGTAAGTGGGTACAATTTGTCCTCACCCCAAAGGGCCGCGGAGCAATTTTAGATTAAGAAAGCAAGAGCGGCTTCTTTCGGGGATGGGGCAGATTTTAGGAACCTTTAGTTTGTCAGAGGCACCAAAAAATGTTTAGGAAGGGACGTCACCAGGCCTCTCCGTTCCGCGATCCTTGACCACCTGATCTACCACTGCTTATCCTGGATCATTCCCAATCCCCTTTCCAAACTCAATTTAAACGTAACTTAAGTACTTATAATGTTGTGATGAAATCATTTTTTGTCTCACCGCATTGTAAGGGAAGGTGGTAATCCTCTCGCCACGTAGAAGAAAACGTTTATCAAATGCTGTCTGAGACCAAATTCAGGATGGGTCTTTCTGACCAAGAGGGAGATCGTATACCTGGGTTGAAATATGGACAGTCAAAGAAAGTGTCAGACATACAATTGAATACTTCGTAGGTGGAATTTAAACATATAAACAAATAATCTAAATGCTTCAACTCACGCTTTGTCTTCAGTCATTGTAATGGTATTCAGTTGAAGAGTGAGATCAGTGGAGTTCAATCGACCACGCCCAGTTCCGAAACAACCAATTAGCTGCCGAAATCGAGAAGATTATTTTACAATTAATATTGTTACTCGACACACGCAAAAGTCTCGTGAACGTTTTGTAGCAACCTAGGCATGCATGATCATAACGTCACTGAAAGATAGCGGAAGAATTCATAGTTGATAGAATGCGACTGTCTCAATGAACTATATGTGCTTTTAGCAACTGGATAGCCACGCCTTAGATTGCTGGTAAATCAACTTCCTGTGTTAGCATAATTAGTCGACTCTTCACAAAATTATCATAAGTTCCCGCATTTCATATCTATGTTGCAGGTGTATCAAGGTGTATCCTACCTGGGTGGTGTTGTCCATGGTTGGGACAGGTGCTGTCTCCGGGTCAGGTACCTCGGGGAATGCTAACAATGGTTCAAAGGTAAAGTTTGACGGCAGAAATTCATGATCATCAACATCTCTGCAGAACCAAAGAAACTCCATTCCATCTGTGCCAAGAAAATCCGGATCTATTGATGACGATGCGTTCAGAGCACCCTAAAAGTATATAATATATACCTGTTCATGAAATGGTTCGAACCTGTCGTCTTACAAACATACACAGTATCCAAGACAATGCATTTGAATAAATCGGGGTTTTCGCGTTTGCCTTTAAAATATATACTAGACACACTGTTCTGATATCTTAAAAAACTAATTCATTGTTACGACAGGGCTTCCTATACACACTGCACTATATCTCTTAGAAACCAGGTGAAGTTTTTGTTAATAATGGTGCATGACTATGTCTTATACAAACACAGCAAACCTACAGACATTCCGTATGGTACAGTATGGAATGAGCCCCCAAGTACGCCAGCATTTAACCAAGGTGTCTGCACGATTTCAACAAAGAATGAATCGACTCCAAAAACGCCAGGTAATCCACTCATTTCAACACGAGCAACGATTTCATAGAAACCGTATGGCAAGTCCCTCGGTGGAAGAATCAGATCCTCAGAGAGAATATTCGAATGGTAAACAGCTTTCCGTAAGTTGGACGCTTTCAAATTCGGGATTGTGTTTAACATGCGTGGATCATCCACAAAATCAAATACTGTCCAGGTCACTTTGGTTGCTTCGGTTTTTTCACAGTCTAGTTGTAGTTCAGGCGATAATGAGATTGAGACCGAACGATATACTTGTGTGGCGTTCAAGATATTGGACGAGTTTGGAGCCAGGCCTGCAGAAATATAAGAATATATAGAAATATAGCTGCAGAAATATCAAGGATTGAAAGGATTCGAATAAGCATTAAAGGTGCTTTTAATATCATTTTTAAGAATTATTGTTAACATTGGACGTATGTAAGAAAAAGAGGTTTACCCGTGATAGTGATGTTCGGATTTTTGCATTCTAAAGCCAAGATAACAGCGACCGTTTCTTCCGCAACCGCGGAGACATTATTTGACGCGCTCATTCTGACACGAAACGATCCAATGTTAGGATAAATATGTTTAACAATAACTTCTTGTGTGTTTGGACTTCGAGGAAAGAACTTCAGGAGAGGTGTGGCAGCAATATTTGAATTAATGTCAGCAACGACAAACTTTGTTTGACATGAGGCGTCGCCATAAACCAGGAGAGAACTGTTGTCTCCGACGTCGATCCACATACACGTTTCTGGTGCAAACTTTTCGAACAAAATTTTGAGCGTTATAGTTTTGTTAAGCTTGACAGGACCGTCGTTTGATAGACTGGTGAAGATCATGCTTTGTTTAAGGATAATACTACCATAAGCGTGTACAGTACTAATGCTGTTTTTTAAGGTGACAGTAATATCACAGCGCTGGTTCACATCCCCTGGAAAAGATTTCTCAAGTTGATAATGCGATGCATCGCTTTGACCTGAAGTTTCGCAGTCGAAGTTCCACAAAACAGATGTAGCCGGGCCATTTTTGTAGCTTGCATTCAACTTTACGGGATACTCGGCTGGAAATATATTGGCAAGCTCTCCTTGACCCTTTACCCCAGAGCCAAAGAAGGAAAAACTCGTCAACATTGAAATTACCGGATTTTGAATGACTTTTAAAACTTCGAGCGTAAAATTCAAAGTTTCGTTTGAAACTGAATTCCGAGCGAAAACACGGATATCCACAACCCCGTCATGATCGAAAAGCAATGGGTCTGTAACATGGCAATCGCATTGTCCACCAATTCGATTCAAATTCGCCACATTGCAACATACGATCTCGTTGTAGTAAACAGCTACGGATGTGTATGAGCCATCGTCCATGTCCCAAATAATAGGAATATTTTCACCAAATGCCTTTGCAGTCGGTACAGATTGAAGTGTTAGGTTTTCAATCGGGTATAAATTTTCTGTCAAAATTTAGGATGCAAATAATAAAGTAAGGTGAGATATGATGAGATAAGGGTAAGGTTGATGCACGGTGGAGTAAAGTTAAAGTTAGAGAAAGGTGAGGTGAGGTGAGGTGAGGTGAGGTGAGGTGAGGTGAGGTGGGGTGAGGTGAGGTGAGGTGAGGTGAGGTGAGGTGAGGTGAGGTGAGGTGAGGTGAGGTGAGGTGAGGTGAGGTGAGGTGAGGTGAGGTGAGGTGGGGTGGGGTGGGGTGAGGTGAGGTGGGGTGGGGTGGGGTGAGGTGAGGTGAGGTGAGGTGAGGTGAGGTGAGGTGAGGTGAGGTGAGGTGAGGTGAGGTGTGAGGTGAGGTGAGGTGAGGTGAGGTGAGGTGAGGTGAGGTGAGGTGAGGTGAGGTGAGGTGAGGTGAGGTGAGGTGAGGTGAGGTGAGGTGAGGTGAGGTGAGGTGAGGTGAGGTGAGGTGAGGTGAGGTGAGGTGAGGTGAGGTGAGGTGAGGTGAGGTGAGGTGAGGTGAGGTGAGGTGAGGTGAGGTGAGGTGAGGTGAGGTGAGGTGAGGTGAGGTGAGGTGAGGTGAGGTGAGGTGAGGTGAGGTGAGGTGAGGTGAGGTGAGGTGAGGTGAGGTGAGGTGAGGTGAGGTGAGGTGAGGTGAGGTGAGGTGAGGTGAGGTGAGGTGAGGTGAGGTGAGGTGAGGTGAGGTGAGGTGAGGTGAGGTGAGGTTGAGGTGAGGTGAGGTGAGGTGAGGTGAGGTGAGGTGAGGTGAGGTGAGGTGAGGTGAGGTGAGGTGAGGTGAGGTGAGGTGAGGTGAGGTGAGGTGAGGTGAGGTGAGGTGAGGTGAGGTGAGGTGAGGTGAGGTGAGGTGAGGTGAGGTGAGGTGAGGTGAGGTGAGGTGAGGTGAGGTGAGGTGAGGTGAGGTGAGGTGAGGTGAGGTGAGGTGAGGTGAGGTGAGGTGAGGTGAGGTGAGGTGAGGTGAGGTGAGGTGAGGTGAGGTGAGGTGAGGTGAGGTGAGGTGAGGTGAGGTGAGGTGAGGTGAGGTGAGGTGAGGTGAGGTGAGGTGAGGTGGTGAGGTGAGGTGAGGTGAGGTGAGGTGAGGTGAGGTGAGGTGAGGTGAGGTGAGGTGAGGTGAGGTGAGGTGAGGTGAGGTGAGGTGAGGTGAGGTGAGGTGAGGTGAGGTGAGGTGAGGTGAGGTGAGGTGAGGTGAGGTGAGGTGAGGTGAGGTGAGGTGAGGTGAGGTGAGGTGAGGTGAGGTGAGGTGAGGTGAGGTGAGGTGAGGTGAGGTGAGGTGAGGTGAGGTGAGGTGAGTGAGGTGAGGTGAGGTGAGGTGAGGTGAGGTGAGGTGAGGTGAGGTGAGGTGAGGTGAGGTGAGGTGAGGTGAGGTGAGGTGAGGTGAGGTGAGGTGAGGTGAGGTGAGGTGAGGTGAGGTGAGGTGAGGTGAGGTGAGGTGAGGTGAGGTGAGGTGAGGTGAGGTGAGGTGAGGTGAGGTGAGGTGAGGTGAGGTGAGGTGAGGTGAGGTGAGGTGAGGTGAGGTGAGGTGAGGTGAGGTGAGGTGAGGTGAGGTGAGGTGAGGTGAGGTGAGGTGAGGTGAGGTGAGTGAGGTGAGGTGAGGTGAGGTGAGGTGAGGTGAGGTGAGGTGAGGTGAGGTGAGGTGAGGTGAGGTGAGGTGAGGTGAGGTGAGGTGAGGTGAGGTGAGGTGAGGTGAGTGAGGTGAGGTGAGGTGAGGTGAGGTGAGGTGAGGTGAGGTGAGGTGAGGTGAGGTGAGGTGAGGTGAGGTGAGGTGAGGTGAGGTGAGGTGAGGTGAGGGAGGTGAGGTGAGGTGAGTGAGGTGAGGTGAGGTGAGGTGAGGTGAGGTGAGGTGAGGTGAGGTGAGGTGAGGTGAGGTGAGGTGAGGTGAGGTGAGGTGAGGGTGAGGTGAGGTGAGGTGAGGTGAGGTGAGGTGAGGTGAGGTGAGGTGAGGTGAGGTGAGGTGAGGTGAGGTGAGGTGAGGTGAGGTGAGGTGAGGTGAGTGAGGTGAGGTGAGGTGAGGTGAGGTGAGGTGAGGTGAGGTGAGGTGAGGTGAGGTGAGGTGAGGTGAGGTGAGGTGAGGTGAGGTGAGGTGAGGTGAGGTGAGGTGAGGTGAGGTGAGGTGAGGTGAGGTGAGGTGAGGTGAGGTGAGGTGAGGTGAGGTGAGGTGAGGTGAGGTGAGGTGAGGTGAGGTGAGGTGAGGTGAGGTGAGGTGAGGTGAGGTGAGGTGAGGTGAGGTGAGGTGAGGTGAGGTGAGGTGAGGTGAGGTGAGGTGAGGTGAGGTGAGGTGAGGTGAGGTGAGGTGAGGTGAGGTGAGGTGAGGTGAGGTGAGGTGAGGTGAGGTGAGGTGAGGTGAGGTGAGGTGAGGTGAGGTGAGGTGAGGTGAGGTGAGGTGAGGTGAGGTGAGGTGAGTGAGGTGAGGTGAGGTGAGGTGAGGTGAGGTGAGGTGAGGTGAGGTGAGGTGAGGTGAGGTGAGGTGAGGTGAGGTGAGGTGAGGTGAGGTGAGGTGAGGTGAGGTGAGGTGAGTGAGGTGAGGTGAGGTGAGGTGAGGTGAGGTGAGGTGAGGTGAGGTGAGGTGAGGTGAGGTGAGGTGAGGTGAGGTGAGGTGAGGTGAGGTGAGGTGAGGTGAGGTGAGGTGAGGTGAGGTGAGGTGAGGTGAGGTGAGGTGAGGTGAGGTGAGGTGAGGTGAGGTGAGGTGAGGTGAGTGAGGTGAGGTGAGGTGAGGTGAGGTGAGGTGAGGTGAGGTGAGGTGAGGTGAGGTGAGGTGAGGGAGGTGAGGTGAGGTGAGGTGAGGTGAGGTGAGGTGAGGGAGGTGAGGTGAGGTGAGGTGAGGTGAGGTGAGGTGAGGTGAGGTGAGGTGAGGTGAGGTGAGGTGAGGTGAGGTGAGGTGAGGTGAGGTGAGGTGAGGTGAGGTGAGGTGAGGTGAGGTGAGGTGAGGTGAGGTGAGGTGAGGTGAGGTGAGGTGAGGTGAGGTGAGGTGAGGTGAGGTGAGGTGAGGTGAGGTGAGGTGAGGTGAGGTGAGGTGAGGTGAGTGAGGTGAGGTGAGTAGGTGAGGTGAGGTGAGGTGAGGTGAGGTGAGGTGAGGTGAGGTGAGGGTGAGGTGAGGTGAGGTGAGGTGAGGTGAGGTGAGGTGAGGTGAGGTGAGGTGAGGTGAGGTGAGTGAGGTGAGGTGAGGTGAGGTGAGGTGAGGTGAGGTGAGGTGAGGTGAGGTGAGGTGAGGTGAGGTGAGGTGAGGTGAGGTGAGGTGAGGTGAGGTGAGGTGAGGTGAGGTAGGTGAGGGAGGTGAGGTGAGGTGAGGTGAGGTGAGGTGAGGTGAGGTGAGGTGAGTGAGGTGAGGTGAGGTGAGAGGTGAGGTGAGGTGAGGTGAGGTGAGGTGAGTGAGGTGAGGTGAGGTGAGGTGAGGTGAGGTGAGGTGAGGTGAGGTGAGGAGGTGAGGTGAGGTGAGGTGAGGTGAGGTGAGGTGAGGTGAGGTGAAATGAGGTGAGGTGAGGTGAGGTGCACGTAAGGTGAGGTGAGGTGAGGTGAGGTGAGGTGAGGTGAGGTGAGGTGAGGTGAGGTGAAATGAGGTGAGGTGAGGTGAGGTGCACGTAAGGTGAGGTGAGGTGAGCTGAGTTGAGGTAAGGTTAGAAAAGACAAATGTGCAAAAAGGCCAACGCACTCAATGTCTAACATTAATATTCTTACCAAATTCACAATTAACTCCATAATATCCCGCGGGACAAGAACAATTGTACGCGTTAACAAGATCTTCACATGTTGCGTTATTCAAGCACGGATACGAAAGGCATTCGTTGATTTCTATTTGAGAAAAGTTCAAAAATTACGACAAAGAGCAATTCCTTTCCAGTCTCTCCAAATATTTCCAGTAATATTTACCTGTTTGGCAAGCATTTCCAGTGTAACCAACAGCGCATGTGCAAGTGAAATAATTGAAGAAGTCAAAATGATCATGGCAGGTGCCACTGTTTTGGCAGGGTGACGAGTGGCAAACATCGAAATCTAACAAGCAGAACAAATGCATTTTCGTAGCTAACTGTGACCAGTTGACTGTGATCAGATAACTGTGACCAGCTAACTGTGACCAGCTAACGGTGACCAGCTAACTGTGGTGTGCTAACTGTGACCAGCCAACTGTGACCAGTTAACTGTGATCAGATAACTGTGAACAGATAACTGTGGGCAGCTAACTGTGACCAGATAACTGTGGACAACTAACTGTGACCAGATAACTGTGGGCAGCTTACCTTCGTAACGGCCGTAAAATTCAGCACGAAGGGAACAGGCGACAGTGCACACTCGTGATTTAATTTGAATAACTGTGGTCAAAATCGCTGGAGTCAAGGTTAAATTTGTCACAACACCTTGTTCTGTACTTGCATTAAAAGTCTGAAACAAATTACAAATTTACCATCGTCAGAAGGTTCGGAAGCAAGTAAGCGATTAGATAATACATATGTCATAATACACAGTAACACAAGTCGCCATATGCCAATATTCAACAACTTTGCTTTAACATCTATTATTCAAATATATATGTCTCCCGCCTGGCACGTGTCTATGACTCTGGCAACAGATATAGTTAAATGAATAATCACGATGATTTTCAAGGGCCGAATCGAATGAGAGTTCCAACTCTATGAAAACCCTAACTGGTATATGTCATAGGTTGTAAGTAATTAGAAATAGGCCGACAATCGAAGGGGGTGAATGCATGGAAGGATGATCTCCTAGTTGGGTTTCGCTTACCCTAATGGTGGTCCAGCCTACATGTTTGACATAGTTATTTTGTGCGTCAGTATCAGGATCATAGTAGGTCAGCTGAAAGTATTCGACTCCAGCAACAGAGCTTGTCCTCGCTTGAATCTGGACCATCGTCACCGTGGTATTTGCAACGAAATCAACCACAAACACTCTGCAAAATTCAGTGTAAAAGTCATTTCCTGTAAGTAAATTACGGATGCTTTTAAAAAAATCTTGTGATAATGTCGACTTACGCGGGAATGTCAGACGGCATAACCATCCATTCTCCTCGCTTCACGAACGGTTGACCATTTAATCTTCCACGTTTGGGTGCGTACGTTTCGTTCCGGGAAGAGCTTGCTGTAATTTGTGAATCCAAAATCTGTCCGCTTTCCATACCCAGCGTGTGGGGATAATAACAAGTGAGAACTGTAAAACAAAAAACCGTTTGATGTCATTCAGAATTACAGTCCACCCCTGTCCTAGCAAATGTTCGACAGCCCTGCTAACGCGGGGAAGAAAAACAGAGCTCTTAGACATTATAAATGTATTTCTGTATTCAAAAAAAAATTAAACATAATTCAAAAAAAAAAAATTAAACATACTTGCATAACATCCCTTGAACTCGACTCTAAGACAACATTTGTGTGCTCCAGTGGCCGTGTTGGGATGAATACGAATATAACGGGTGGAGATGGGATTCGAAAATGTATTGGGGGCAACAATGTCAGGTGCCGTATTCCCGTTAAACATCTGTAAATATAACATTTTATACCACGTTACACGTTAATGCTACTTTCATGACATAGCAAAAGAAATAAAAGCCCGTTTAATGTGAACCCGTACTGATTTCATACATGCTCAGCCTTTGTTTTGGTAGTCAGGGGCCAGTTGTATAAAAGATTATAGTTAACTATACAAAATGTAGTTAAAGAGCAAAACGGGGCTATGGAGGGTAAACGGGGCTATGAAGCAATGAACTATGAAGTTACACAGTGAGTACCTTAACAAACCCATTTTGTTCATAATAAACGAAGCTAACACCGTCTAAACTATAGGAAACTTTAAACGCGGTAACTCTCTCATCGACATTCGTGGCAGGATTCCCCTGGATGTGAACGCTGGTGACAGTCGTGTCCACACGAAAATCCACCTGAAACCATGGATCACCATCATGATCCCCAGGGCACCAGCAACCTTTGCTGTTTTCCAATACGTTGTTCAGTCTCCCATAAGAAGCGCGATACTCGTCACTGTATTGTTTATCGGAGGTAATCTGGTTGTCTGCAATTTGTCCATGCTCCATGCCAAGCGCTCTGGGTTCAAAAATTTCTAAAGTATCAAAAATGTGGTGCGATCAGCCGTTGATTCCGGGGGCTGGTTGTGCGAAAACTGGATGGTGCTTTCAATCGGATAGTTTTCTTTTCAATCGCTCTAGAATTGCGCGTTAGCTTGGTATAACGTGGTTTGAACCTTTGCATTCTTAAACTAGGGGTCCTCTTTCATAGCCATGCGCTTAAAATATGTTATCTCGTTGCTTTTGAGTTGTATTTGCGACGATAGAATCGCTATCCGGTGATAGCTTTAATTTCCATCAAGGCGAGGGGAAAGAAATTCAACACCACGGAACAGCAAAGGCCTAGCTTTTGGCGAGTTTAGAAAAGTTGCCATTGTGGTGAAAAGATTTGAAAATAAATCATTATTACCTGACTCGCAGAAGACTCCTGTGAAACCGCTTGGGCATGTGCAGTTGAAAAAATTATATCCATCAAAGTAGTCGTGACAAATACCACCGTTCTGGCAAGGCTGCGAGGAACAGACGTCGATATCTGAAAGGTGTCATATAATGGTTGAGCCTTGCTATATTATCCTCATTATATAACAACTGTTTTATGTCGGGATCTTTTCTGTGTACTTTAGTTGTTTAAGGTAAAACGGACAAACATTAACTTGAGCATTGAAACTTAAGCCGAAAATTAGATCCAGGTGATCTCATTTCTCTCCATGATTTCTCTCATATTTTAGCCGATCAGCGCTCACATAGTTTCCAAAATAGAGATCCATTCTGTAGGTCTCAATCGATTGTATCTTTGGTTATTATTCTTCACGAAACTAGCAGAAATTTTGCGATTTTGTTTGATTGTATTCAGTTATAAGAGTATAACTATAGTTCTGAGATAAATTTGAACGAGAAATCAAGGACATTTCAAGAGATATTAAGTTGTTTCAACGGAGAAATAAATTTTTATTTGACAACTTGGCATTTCAGATCGCCTGCATGGATAATATTATACAAATGCAATCATCGGATCATATGTGGATTTTTTTGAGATATAATGACAAGCAGAGTAGGAACAGCGATGTCTCAGTAAGGAAAACAATATCCCCATGCATGGGAGAGGAAAGAGCTACTTGGGTCATCTTTTCCTATTTGCATCAATATGACCCTACATGGGACAAGCGATGTTTCAGTAAGGACATTACATATTAATACAAATTCCTATTTGTATTAATATGACCTTACATTACACATGCAGCTAGGACATGATGAAGTTGATCCCAACCCTCTGCAACAACCCTCTCGGCCATACATATCTTACAATACTCTCATCGTTTCATGTAATACCTTCATAACAACCGTAAAGTTCTAGCCTTAAACCAATTCCTTCGCCACCAAATGAAAAATCCCTTAAGTTTAATACTTTCGTTGCAGCCATGTCCTCTAAATCAATGGTCACCACCGTATTTGAATCACTGTTAGCAGTATACTTCTGTAGAAGGAAAAAATAAAAAAAAATGGCTTAAGAGGTAGAATTGTGATTAGGCGTCAAATGTGGCGCGTATTTGTATCAAGACACGATTTTTTTCGTTGACATGTGAAAGTACTTTCAAGTCTGAATTTTTTCTTTCTCACATCCAAACACAACTTAAGGGTTGTTTACATGAGCCCGGTTACCCGAGATTCAACGAAGCGTGAGATGATTTTGAGGTATTGAAATGAGCAGATAACATGATCCTGGCAGTCGTATAATCACCACAACAATAGCATGTGCTTGTTTGGTGTCATAAAGACTTATTTTAAAACCTCAAAGTCCTCTCACGCTTTGTTAAATCTCGGGTAACCGGGCTCATGTAAACAGCTGAAATGACTTCAACTTCTTATTACCTCGGAACAGAAATATTTTCGAATAAAATTTTTTTAAGATTTTTCTGTGCCAGCATGCGGTTCACGGAGAAATTTTCCCGTCGTGCAAATGCAGCTTAATAAATAAACGAATGATATCATCAATGGCTAGTTTACCTTCCTTGTTTTCCATCCATAAGTGTGCAATTCATAATGGGGTTGGAATTTGGTCAGCCAAGCGTTTCGATTAGCCGTTCCTTGAATCTTGATACTTGTTACTACTGCTTGCGCGTCGAACGTGATAACGAAGCGTGCTGCCTTCGTTGTAGTAGTAAACCAACCTTTATGCAAGATAAAACATTTCAAATTAAATTCAAATTAATCGATGATGGTAAACCCAACAATTCCAGCTTCTGGATAAGAAACTAAGCATCTTAGGAAGAGAAATACTACAAAGTTTGCTTGCAAAATGCTGAAACTTGATATGCAAAATATAGCCATGCGAAATTCACTAATTTTGTATCACAGCTAAGTACGGGAATAATAATTATACAACTATCTGAAAACTGGTTATTTTTATAGTTATATATGTTTGCAAAACATACAAACTTTGCCGGGCCATATTTTTCACTTTTTCAAAATTATAAAAATGGCAGTTCTATACTACTCATTTTTAAATGCTTTTTCCACCAGTGAGACGAAATGTTCAGCGCCTGGCTAAGCTAGGTAACTCGGTCTCGATCCATACAAGTCGCCCCTTCAAGCCACTTCTATGGTCTTATGATATGCTTACGGTTAAAAGCACCGATATACCTGTATTGGAGAACAGCCTTGCAGTCTCCGGGCTGTTGTCGCCATATTTTCCATCGTGTGCCCAAATTTGATGATCTCCGATTCTCCTGTTCCTCATTCCCAATTCCCTCGGCGCACGGCAGCCTAAAAATATAGGAATATTTCATATCAAAGCGCGTTGTGAGAGCAAAATCCCGATAGCCAAGGGCGCGTTGTACGAAGGCTGTATATCTATCCACCGGATAGTGATTTTTTTAACCGTTCGGCTAAAAATGCTCGAAAAGCGATAAAATTTCATCTTTGGAACCAAAAATAATTGTTAAAGAGGATTCTCGATTTAATCAAAGATGTAATCAAAGTTATAGCAAACAACCGGTGATATTGACAGCGATTAAAAAAAAATCACAATCTGGTGGAAAGCGCTATATCCAGCTTTCATACAACCGGCCCCAGGTATTGTAACCACAGTCTGCGTTCGACATTTTTTTCAATTTCATATTATGGAAATAGCATGGATTCCAGTGAGAATCAGTTTCTGTACGTACCGCAATAACAACCAAAAAGTTCCATTCTTATGGCAGGAATGCTCTTCCACACTTTCGGGTGAATTCGAATCACGCGAGCAAAGATTACACGCGTGAAACGATGATGGATAATATTATCACAATCAAAGTTGCCGTTGAATTCCTAAAAAAGGACAAATACCAATGTTATTATCTGCACTATATCAGTTCAGTTTTTCAGAGCTGAAACGAAAACATTTTTCATAATTCGAAGTATTTCTAACGAAATTCAGTGTGGTTTTGTTAAATAGGAATGACATTCAATCATCAATAGACTCTCTCTTTATAATGACGTCAAACGCTCGTTAGTTTTGTGGAGCCAATCAAATTTCGTGAAGCACCAGGAGTTTGATCAACGTCATTATGAGTAACACCTATCCACGATAGAACGACTATCACGAATTAACCTAAGAAGTTAGCTTAGTCGCAACTTGCAAGCGCTTACCCTATTGCAAATGTTCATTCTGATTGCCTATGCCTACTTGCTATCTTTAAATTGACAGACCACTTGGATGGAAAAAATCATTCCTGATTTGATATAGATCAGGGCCGGTTGTTCGAAAGGGGTTTTGCTTTGAAGGGCGGATAAGGACGGAGAAAAACAAAGCTATATATTTATTAAAAAACTAAGTTAATTGTACATAATTTATGCATAGTTGCAGGTTCAGTCATTCACAGGATATATGAGAATATTTTTAAACTTTGGCTTATCCACCCTTTAAGCTAAACGCCTTTCGAACTCACACCGGCTCCTGGTAAGATAAAATCAATACCTTAATCCAACCGAATTCTTTATATTTTTCGAAATTTAACATATCATTGCTGTAGGAGACCTCAAATAGGATCGTCCAGTAATCTCCGGCCAAACCTCCCGGATCCTTTTTGCCTTGCATTGATAAAGCAACCACTTTTGAGAATTGCATGAGATCAACCTAATAATAAAAAAAAAAATATCAAGGAGAATTGCTGAACGTCTGGGTCGGTGCATGCTGTCATGCGTAAATTCGCTGACCAAAAAATAAACGTAACGGGCTCGTGACTTGGAGTAATGCGACAACGTATTGATATATATCTATCTTTTTAAAATTTGAAGTACTTTGATTAGAATTATTGATGTAATTTTGGATTTGATTCGGTTCGACAAAAAACACTAAAACACATCTACTAATCTAGTTCTAATTTAGGCCGATACAAACCAAAAAATGCCAAGAATACAAGTATTCGGTAAATAATTTTCATCGTACACGGGAAACCCTATACTCTGCCAGTAACAATGCGCGTACATTTTAAGCACTCAGTCCATTTTGGCAATTTTGTGCAGATCATATTGGTTTGACGTTCAACCGTTTCAAAAGCTAAAAAAGATTGACGTACTTGCAGCCATGGCGATGGGTCTCCCGACAACTCTGGCAGCCAGGCTTTTACGTTATTCAAACGTGCATTGTGAGCGGTATATTTTGACGATCCACTCAACGTCGACGAGGAACTATACTGGTAACCTTTAAGGGTTTCTTGTTCGAGCCCAAAAGGTTTCGAATCAAAACAACCTATAGTAAAATCAAAATAATTAGGACCGACTGCTGCGTCTATACACACGCAATGTATGCAGGCGAATATTTCCAGCGATTTTCTCTTTCAGGCGTATGCTATTGAGTGAATTAAGCAAACAGTTGTGCCTATAAGCTTGAAAATTAATCTGCACTGTTAAATTTGCTCAGGCTAGCTGGTATGAAACTTGTCAAGTCCCCCTTTAGTTCGAATTGTTCCCACGATCCTAGCAGTATTTTATTATCTCCTGAAATCATTTTACATTTCGTTTAATCTCAGGATCGTATATAAACAGGTCCTATACTATACACGGTTATGAACTCAGGATAACTTCACGGCGACAGATTCCATACCTTCGTAGCACCCGAAAAATTCTGTTCTCATTGCGCAAGCGCTATGCCAGGTCTTAGGATGGAGGCGAACATATCGGGTAAAGACTGCTGGGAACATATAATGTTTGACCGTCGTGTTTCTGTCGGTGTTCGCTTGAAATACCTTGAAAAGAAGAATTGCAACCACAAGAAAAGTCAGCAGCTGAAAATTTTCATTGGTTACTTATGCTTAAAATCTTGTGAAAACAAGTTTGTCGAATCCTATCTTCCTTATTAGCTCTACACTTCAGTAGCTCGAAAATTCTACTATCAAAGAGATATTACCTTAGGAACGTCATTCTCTTCATAATATTCATAATTGCTCGAATCCATACTGAACGACAGTTTGAAACTCGTTACCCATTCGTCCGCATCGTTACGGCCCTGTGTCGCAACGGCTGTAAGTGTTACGTTGCCGATAAAGTCAACTCTCAACCAAGGGTGCATATCTGTGCCTAGAGCAATCCATGCACCAGCTGTTCCATTGAAATTCTGCCTGGCGTTCATTGCACGCGAAGTTTCATCTTTTTCAGAGGAAGAAGTCAGTTGAGCATCACGTATTACATAGTTCTCGAGGCCAAGAGCTTGTGGGTATAAACACGAGGTTGTAACTACATAACATAAAAATATATGCAGGATGATATACGATTAATACACAGGATAATGATTAATATGCAGGATAATACGATTAATATACATAATTTATGTAGCATACATGATTAATGTGCAGGATAATACGATTAATACACATAATTTATGTAGCATACATGATTAATATGCAGGATAATACGATTAATACACATAATTTATATAGCATACATGATTAATATGCAGGATGATACGATTAATACACATAATTTATGTAGCATACATGATTAATACGCAGGATGATACGAGGGTATATTGGAATTTGGAACTTCTTAAAAGCACGAAAATCTCGAGAGAGATCCCAACTTACCCTGCGTCTCCGGATAAAGACACCGTAGTTTTAAAAAATACATTAAGTCATTAAATCCTTAAACTCACCAATGGGACTGCCATAGACCTCAATTCTTAAACACGGGTTATATTGAAACTGCAAGGGATAGATCCGAATGAATCGGGCGACGATAATTTTTGCGAAGGTTTGTTTGACAACCGTGTTTCCATTAGTATTTCCAGGAATATACGATTGGAAAATCTAAGAGTAAAAAATAATGGACTAAAAAATTAGTAGAGTTTATAACATTTATTGATTAGATCTCATTGAAGATTTTTTATTCTTTCATTACATTTGGAAATGTTACACGCTTAATGTATGCTCCCGAGGGAAATAGTGAGTTTTGTTTTCCCAAGAGCCTGAATGTTTACCGAGACGAAGTCGAGGGAAACATCGAGACTCGAGGTAAAACAAAACTCACTATTTCCCGATACATGCAGTGTACATTAAGTGCTATGTTATATAGGAACAAAAACATACATATTACACATCAATTTCATTAAAAAAACCACTTTACTTTGTTTCCTGGCGGGAAATATTGCATTTATTCGAGTTCATGTGACTATACGAATGAACCAATCACAGCTTGCTGCGAGTGCTTGCATGTAATCAAAATCAACATCAAATCATTTTCATTAGATGAAAACCCTCGCAGCTAGCGAGCTAGCGAGTTCGCAATTTCGATGAGTGAAACTGAAGGGGCTTTATTCTCGATCTGAACGAATTCTTGTGATATCATGAGGAACTGTGACATAATGCACGGTCAAGACAAGCTAGGTAGAGTAAGGAGTGGGGCCTAGGGGCCCCAAAGACTGGTGTTCCAAATGATTTAATCTACGTCAAGTTACGTCAGGATAGGATAGGGTATTAAAAAAACACGATGGTATAAGTAAAACATAATTATACTGACGCATTCCAGCCGAGGGCCAACTGACAATGCATGATAAACGCTATGCTTCGCTAGCTATGATACTGTTGAAATCGAAAACAACTCTAGGAGTTGACAACCCTGCCGGTTTGTTAGTGTCAGTTTATCTCATCGCCACTTACTTTAACAAGCGCAGACTCAGTATAGCTTGCAAAGTTTTTTCCGTCGTTACCAGTTGACATTTTAAACGTTTTAATAAGGCTAGGGTTATCACGATGACCTTGAGTGGCTACACCTGTGATTTTGGTTTGATGTAAAAGATCAACTTGCAACCAGGGATTTGTATCTCCGGATGCTTGCCTCCAAGAACCACTGTTGAGGCGACTGGCTATTGCATGCCTCGCTACTGTTAAATAACTTGAAGCCGTTAGCTGTCCGTCGCCTATTGATCCGTCTTCCATGCCTAATGGCTGCGGGTTTACGCAATCTAAAAGTCATTGAGCAAAGATTGTTGAGCAATAACTACAGTGAAACACGCAAACTGATTGGTTAATAGCCGTGCTGCATGGATGAGAAAATCCTGCACGAGCAATTCCATAGACTTTTTTCACAATGACGTCAAATCCGGGCGAAATAACCTTTAGCAGTCTTTTCCCCATGGGGAGGGGTAACATATATGCAACATACCTTCATAAACATCCACCCGCTCCCCGTAAATCGAACAAAACTTTCGGCATCCTTCCCGCAACTCAGAATTCTATTTCAAACCCCGGCCTTTCCCGATAATTATGTCACGAAAACGTTTCAGGCCTCACTCTCAAGTCTTAACAGGCTAGGGGATTGACCAGGGATTTAGGAGTTTGAGGTTAAATGACGTGAAAAGAGCCCTGCTTTTTTAACCAATGCCGCAAAAGGTCTCCGTGTTCTCTGCGGTAAATTCCGTTTACAGTTGCCGTAAACGCCAAGCTAATGGTCTCTAGTATTATCAAGGTGATTCATATCTTACCATATTTGCCATAGAATTCCACCTCCATGGCGAATTTGCCGATCCACGTTAACGGTTGAATTCGAACGTAGCGAGCAAAAATGAGGGGGTAAAAATAATGCGATACTGCAGCATAATCGGCGAGGACGTGATCGAAGAAAACCTTGAGATAAGACGAATAAAGGAACCTTAGTTTGACAAAAACAATAATAAATACATCCAGCTGATGTGCACGGCTAAAAAAATCACCGGTTTAGAAGTCCTTAGCAAAAGTGAATTATTATTTTCTTCACTTTATATAACTTAAACCTCAAGTTCGGTGAATATTTCTGAATAAAGATCTCGAATTCGAAACCAAGGTTTTTATTCAGCGATATTCAGCTCGCATTCAGTGAGAAATTTAGAAATATTACGTCTTGTTTAATCGCCTACCTTGGTTGTCGAGCCATCCTGGGTGTAATTGATGAGCTCACTGGAATAGCCGTAGGCGACCGTGAACGAGGTCACCCGATCAGCCACCGGAGTTGCCCCAGTAATATTCCCTGACACCATTCCAGATATTGTGACATTGGTTAGGAAGTCGACTTGAAGCCATGGATTGGGGTCGTTTTCATCGGCTATCCAACCCCCTGAACCGACTTTGGCAGACCCTGCACTCCCAATGCCTGATTGCTCAGATGACGCAATCAACTGACCGTCCACAATCTGAGAGCTTATCTCATTGTAAACAACAGGCTCTTTCAGGAACTGCGAATCTGAGTAGAAAATGATAATTTGAGCATCTCATGAGTTTCCAGGCATTTCTCAAGTAAAACAGGGTGTCCCAAACAAAGTAATGAGTATCCTCCATTGAAATCCCAGCTTTTGTTGCTAAATTGTGTAATTCTGCTTTTTGGAATTTATCTGGGTATTTAAACGTGTGTTGTGATGCCTTTGGGAATGTGATCGGGTGAAGTGCGAAATAATTTTGACTTTCCGTCGGCCGAATGATCATAACACGGCTAAAAGCCAGTGATTTGATAACTTTTTGTTGCTGTTAACTTTAATAGCTATATATAATACATGTTCAAGTTGAACTAAATCTGATTTCAAAAGAGGGCCTTTTCTTGAGGACACTATGATGTATATTCATCACTATAAACTAAAGTTAAGCATTACAAGAAAAGAAATTCCCAGACTTCAGCTAACAGCATCGATCCTAACCGGACACGAGAGCTATTAGTTGAGCTAAAAACCTCTTGGTCGTATTGAGTCTAGCCTTAACTGTTGTATGCCTATGATGTTGGCTCGAGGCCGTAATCTGGCTATCTTTAATCTCCTGATTTACCATTCCCAGTGGGTGCGAATGATAACACCAAACTTAAAGGAAGATTGAAAGTTTGAAGAAATACTCCAAGCATATCTACATATGTTGAATAAATATGTTGGTTAACTTGGTTTAAGTAATTCGCCATATATAAAAAGGCAACAGCCGGCGAATTTAAAAGCTCGTCCTCGGCTAGTTTTTCCCGCGCTTTTCTTAAATCTCGCAACCGATCCCAGCGTGTTTGGATCAGGCCATCCGGGCACGGAAACCACCAAGTAATTGTCTAATACTTACCTACATAGCACCCAATAAACTCCACACGCAACGCAGGCAGACTATTAGACGGATACCATACAAGTGGGTACAAGCGAATGATTCTAAGGATGAGAGAATTTGCCAAGCGAGAATAGGCGACATCCACATTATTATGATTTGCAAGAAACTCCTGAAGAAAAAAATTTTGACACAAAATGAAATAATGAAGTGGAATAAATATATACCACTGCACGGGGACACTGCATGTGCATAGGGAGGCGTGAAACGTTTAGCTAACGGACTCTATCTATATAGGTCATGAACTAAAAGCCTGTGGTACAATCTATACGACTTAATTTAGCTACTCAAAGTGTGGAAAAGGTTTTATTCGACAATAAAGATGCGATGTTTGCCACAATATATGATTCATAGCAACAGTTTATGGTCCAGCTGCAGAAACACTCCTTGCCTCCTGTATTCCCTGTGGGAGGAATCCTTGGGTCCAGAGAGAGAGAGGAAGGCATTGAGCAATATTTGGACGAAATTTGAAATATTCTACTTTCTACGTGTTTTCTACGTGTTTTTAATACAACAGCAAACAAGAAAAGGTTTCCATACAACCCTACGATGCGATCTCGATCTCATATCTTAGCCAAGCAGGGCTCAGAAACTATTTGTTGAAACTGAAGAAATCCACTTGCAGTATTTAGTGAATGAATTAATTTTACAGAAGGAAATATTATGAAACTAGTTGCTCTAGTATGATGGTATCAATTTAAAACAAAATGAAAGTACTTCTCAAGCGATATTAAGTTCACGGTTTCAACCAAGAAATGGACTTTTATTTGATGACGCAAAATATTGCATATTTTCTTTCGAATGTTGACAGAACATTAAGTACATTAGTTCAACTTCACTGTTCTAATTTCAAAAGAAAATGATGAAAATATTTCGCTAGTAAACTTGTGGCTACCCCATTTCGCAGATAAGTTGTAGTTAAGCCCACCGCACACGACACACGAGAGCTATTAGCTGAGCTAAAGACCTCGCGAGGCTGTTAGCTCAGCAAGTTTCTCTTGTGTGCGGATAGTTTTCATGAGGAATTCAACTCGCCTCGAGAGGCAAATTTCTCTCGTGTGCGGATGGTTTAATTTCGGGCTGAGCTAACTGCCTCGCGAAGTCGTTAGCTCAGCTGATAGCTATCGTGCGCGGCGGGCTCGACTGAGCTCCTCAATTTGCGATAGGTTAACTTTCGCGACTAGGCCGCATTAGGCGAGGACTTATTTCGTATACGAACCTTCTTCGCGCCGTATTCTTTGTAAATAGAAAATGCGATTCCGTCAAAGGAATACGATGCGCTGAATCTACGCACATAATAGATGCTGTTTCCCCTTCCTTGCGTTAGTATTTTGACAATCTTGGCAAATTTAAGAAAGTCTGCTTGAAGCCATGGCTCGGCATCATTTGAAGCAGGCGACCAACCAGCATAATGGTGGGTTGAATTAAGCCTAGCCCTGCTTGCTGGATGGGATGGTGAATTGCTTGAGGAGGAGATCTGATCATCTTTGATCGTATGATTTGCCATGCCCAGAGCTCGCGGATCGTCACAAAAGGCTGAATGATTAAAGTGGAAGTTAAAGGCTATATGTTACACGGTACAATTATTCTTGTAACTTGCAATGCAATTCTACTTTTAAGAGATGTAAATTAGTGAAGAGTCTTCAAAATGTAAGTGTCAGAGACGCCATGGATTGTAATAAAGACAAACTGAGTTCGGTAGTCATCTCTCAAAAGAAGAATTACATTGCAAGTTGGAAGAAAAATTGCACCATATACAGAAGGCCTTAGGTCCGTTCTGCGCTATGGTTCTGCTCATAGCAATAGCCCGATTTGTAAAACTTGAGACGGAATATTTCCATGGATCGAAATATTTCGCCATCTTGAAGTAATAAGTTGATTAGAAGGTCGTCATGAGCTTGTAATGACCAGTATACATACCATCGTATTTTCCATAAACCTCCACCCGCAAATAACATTGTCCTTCACAAGACTTTGGCTGGATTCGAATCAAGTTGGCAACAATATTTGGAAAGAGGTGATTTACTGAAATATTTCTACCAAATGCATTTGCTTGGAATATCTAAAATTAAAACGCAATAAGAGCGTAAAAATTTGAAGCCGATGGCAAAGTGGTGAAGGTACGTAAAGGCCACGTTTCCACTTTTATGTGCGATTTCCCTCTTTTGATGCTCTGGGGCCGGTTGTTCGAAAGGCGTTTAGCCTCAACGGTGGATAAGCTAAAGTTTAAAAAGACTTAATTTCAGGCTTCTTGTGAATGATTGAACCTGTATCTCATTAAATATGTACCTCCATTGACTATTAAACTATTTACATCGAAATATTTCAGCTTAGTTGTTCAATAAATAGATGATTTTGTTTTCCATTTTGAACTTATCCGCCGTTTAAGCTAAACGCCTAGCAAACAATCGGCCCCAGATGTATTTATTACCTTACCTTAATTTCACCGTTGAGTTTGTAGTCCTGCCAAACATTGTTTCCATTGGAAAAAGCCAGTGTATAGTTTTCCACCCAGCCGTCAGGAGAACTCTGAGTAATGATGCCTGCAATAGTCGCTCTCGTTGTGAATTCGATTTGAAACCAGGCCGTATTATCTCCTTCAGCTGGTCTCCATCCAGGCGAATTACTTAGGCTGTATCTGCCTTTCGAGGCTCGGAAGTCATAGGCCATCGTGGATGACGCGGTCAGCTGAGAGTCAAGAATCAAAGACGACTCCATTCCAAGAGAAACCCTCTCAAACCAATCGGTGACTAAGGTAGATGAAATTACAAAGTTCTGATGCAGTGAAGCCCTCGTAGACAACACGATCCTCGGCGAGGCTGACACACACTGCATGGACGCCATGCGCAAACGTAACCGACGAGTGTCCTTACGATTCTTTCAGTTTTCATTAAACAAAGACTAATCTTCTGATATTCTTGTATAAGAAATGTCACGGTCGTAGCAATGGGGGGGGGGGTATTGGGGTGGCTAATCCCTGTCTGTCTTGCCTTAGCCTATATCCCAGTCCATACACGGAAAAGTACCGGTGGGAAAGTATATAACGTTCCGTGTATGGAACAGGCTAGTTTCCATGCCCTCGCTCTAATACTAATTTCACTTCCTCGACTTACCAACATAAAATCCGAAGAACTCAACCCTTAACGCATAAGCATTACTCTTCTGCGTTGGATGAAGCCGAATAATGCGAGTGAAGATTGGGTTTCTAAGTCTTTGTCGCACGGCACTTTCCTTGTCATAGTTTGCCTCAAAATCCTGCAATAATATTTATTTAATAAAACATTTTTAGCCAGAGAGATAAATGGAATAGAGGGGAAAACATACACTGAAGAACATATTTTGCAAATCGAGAATTAGGTTTTTAATAAACAAGACAACAATATTACGCCGTGAAGTCACTGATATTCTATTTGTAAAGCCATTCAGACTTGAATAGAGTCGATTCAATATTGCAAGGAAGTACTGTAATTGGGCCACAGAATACCTATCAGAAGTAGAACTCCTGTACTTTTTTCGTAAGTGTGATTCGTCATGATTCGTCACTTAGCAAGTGCATTTTTTTGAGGTAGTCACCCCCCTGCCAATACTAAATATGGCTTGATTTTAGACATTGGCAGGGGGGTGACTACCTCAAAAAAATGCACTTGCTAGTGACGAATCATGACGAATCACACTTACGAAAAAATAGTATAGAGTTATTCTTCTGATAGGTATTCTGTGATTGGGCAATCGTTTGCTAGCACACCGATGCACCCCCCTAGGAAAATTTGCACCCGTGATCCGCCACTGAATTTCCCCCTAATATACACACGTTACCTTCGGTTTTCCGTATTCTTTATAGGTTTATAAAATCGAATCCTTTATATACTGAATGAGAGTTGGAATTTTTTCGTAAATTCATTATCTTCGCCATGACCTTTCGTGATGAGACCATTAACAAACGCGAATTTAATGAAGTCAACTCGCAACCAGGGACGAGATTCGGATAAAGCAGGCATCCAGGCACCTTGATAATAAAAGAGGGATTGATCATTGACCTAACAGATTTTAAAATCAATCTTCCTACGGAATCATGGGTGGGATTAGCACAGCGTTGGCAAAAAACTGCGGGTACGCGGGGACCACCCGTGAGGAAGGTTTACTTTGAATGAGGATGGTGCATGTAAACAAATATTAAAAAAAGGTACTGTGTATTATTAAAGGTAATATTAAAAAAAAGGTATTGTGTTGGTTACCAATGCGACCAGCACCAGGTAACGAATATTCTTATACTAGATAATACCTAGGAAGGCAGAACGAGTCATGTGACTGATGTAAGTGACGTGACGTCATTTCCTGAAGGAAGGTTGAACCCTATGTTGCAACTCAGCAGTGAACAAATTGATCTCTTGTTCTCACCTTCGACAACGTTCCGAATATATTGGTGATTTAATCGAGAGCACGCAGGGAGTGCTTTTTGTTGTGCAGTGGACGCTGATATTTGGTTGTCTCGGATATAACCACTTTGCATCCCAAGCTCCCTGGTTATTCCTTTCCCTAAAAAAACAATGTTATAATATAACGTTTATCAGTACGCGCGTGCTGATTGATTGAGAAGTCTGTTTACCATGAGCGAGACAAACAGACAGACAGACAGACAGACAGACAGACAGACAGACAGACAGACAGACAGACAGACAGACAGACAGACAGACAGACAGACAGACAGACAGACAGACAGACAGACAGACAGACAGACAGACAGACAGACAGACAGACAGACAGTACAGACAGACAGACAGACAGACAGACAGACAGACAGACAGACAGACAGACAGACAGACAGACAGACAGACAGACAGACAGACAGGCAGGCAGGCAGACAGGCAGACAGACAGACAGACAGACACAACCCCAGATGTACATAGCTTCCAATTGAGAATTTGCTTTTAGAACAACTTATATGCTTTTAAAAACAGAAAATTCGCTCGGGGGCGTCACGTATACCTTCATATCGTCCGTAAAACTCCAGTCTCATGGCACAAGATCCATTCCACGATTTTGGGTGAATGCGAGCGTAGCGGGCAGTGCAATGCGGAAATATATACTGTTTTACTGTATCGCCACTTTCATGGTTGGCTGAAAACATCTAAGATTTAGAAAGAATAATAACATCTTATATCGTAGATGAGAATGATCCTAGAAGACAATACAATCCTAGGTGATAATACATGGACTAGCAACTCAAAGGTCAAGAGTTTTATTCCGACCATAGTTAACTGCTAATTAATTTTTTCAGCTCGCTCGTTTGGCAACTTAGAGTAGCATCATCACAATATCAACATCGTTGTTCGCTTTCTCGGCTGCTAGGCTGGAGCTACTAGCTGTAAAACGCTTGTATATTATAATATATAGTATATAATATATAATTATCCTAGGCTGTTGCGGCTGTTTCAGGCAAAATTCATGATAAATAAACATGAACTAACTAAGGCGAAGTTCACTCTCTTCCATCTTACCTTCAAACGTCCATTCTGAGTGTAGTTGTTTAAGTTCAGGGGATCTTGTCCATACGTGAGTATGTATTTGGTGACTCGTGAATTGCTGTTGTATAAACCTTGTGTTTCTATCGCCGTTAACGTGACATCAACTATAAAGTCAACTTGCAGCCATGGAGCAGTGTCATGATCACCTGCAATCCAACCACCTTCGTATTGATCCTTTTTGATTGAGTTAAGTCTGCTCCTACGACCATCACAGTAAATACTGAGATCAGATGAAGTCGTTATTTGAGTAGCGTATATAAATGAATTACTCATTCCAAGATCGTATTCATTAAACCAGTCGATGTCTAGAAAAATATACAAGACAGAAAACATGAAATATACGAAAAACTTGCTCGGATAATTATAATTTACAGGTCCTATGTCTCGCATCATGTCAAAAAAGGTAATCCAACTTCTGTACGCAATTAACCTTATACATAATGACGTATCTAGCTGTGGCTTCTGCAGGGAATTCTAGTTTTAGTAGTCACGGTGAAAAATTCAAACTTCAAAATTTCCCGCCGTGACTACTAAGACCAGAATTCCCTGCAGGTGTCAGTGGCTTGTTACGTCATTATACATCAGGTCTATTGTGCGCAACGTACTTGATCCACGGACGTTAATTTTAGATGTCACGAAAGAGTCAGACTTTCGTCTTTGATTGATATCTTTTTCAATCAAAATCGCATGGACGAAAAATTAGCGCTGTCCTATATTCGATACGCAACATCAGTGACGTAACTGGGGGAGGTGTCAGGGTGTGACAGGGTGGGGCAGTACGCTTTAAGGAGCTCTGACGAAAATAACGCAACCATACTGAAATATTACTAGCGCATTGGGGAATAGAACGATACAACCGACAGATAGATACGCAGCTAGCTGTTGCTGGATTGCTTAAAAAGTTTTCGAATATTTATATAATAAATTTTAACAGGGTTTTCCATTTTCCAATATCGTATTTTAGTATAGGGAATGCTGATAATTAAAAATACAAATGTTATTTAATTTCTCAGTTCAAGTGTTCTCGGACGAATAATCTCAGCAATGTAACAGAGATTACTCTGCGACAAAATATATAATTGAAGTTGGCAATTATGAAGTCTAAAACTGCAGAGGGGGGTATCAAGAGAACGAATGACGGGGGGGGGGGGGGGGGGGAGCGGACACAACGGTTGTTTTATGCCACTGAGCGCAATAGTAATTGGCATTAATAAGAAGTTGCTGTTCGATTGTCTTTCTTTGGCACATAGGCTACCTTGTATTTTAAAATGGATTTAGTGATACCTACCACTGTCAGTTCCCCAGAACTCCAGTTTTAATGACCTTTCTGATTCGAAGGCCAATGGATGAACCCGAATGAAACGAGAAAAAATAGTTCTTGACAAACGTTGCTTAGTTAATCCATTATCATCGACATTCGCAATGAAGACCTATAGGATTGATAGAAAAATTTGCTTAGCATGTACTCATGGAAATTTACTACAAGTCATGCATGTATAAGGATTCGTTAGGGTTCAGGGGGGTTTGTATTCGGGACTAGCATTGTGGGCACGTCCGTGAGACAGGCGGCCATAATTCATTGTCAACAACAGCTATATCCTTCCTTTAGTTCACATAAATTTTAATCAGATTGCTCTGGCTGGCTTTATTTGGCATGCAACTCCAAATTAATTTAAGGCATGCACTCATGGAAAAGTGCAGTGGCAGGTTGTTGGAAAGACATTTAGTTCAGTAAACGGTGAGTAAAAGGCAAGAAAAACACTCTCATGCATCTTGTGAGTGACTGAACCTGCATCTTATTAAATATGTACTTTAATTCAACATAACAAACCATTGACGAGCTTTTGAACCGCTAGCTACAGAGACACTGAGACAGGGTCTCAAACACGCTGACAATTGACTTTGGTATGTAGTGAAAACATTACCTTACGACGGCCATCTTCTTCATAGAACTGATAGTGTAAATCATCATTACTGAACGAGACGGTGAACGTTTCTACGTAGGAACCATCGTATCCCTTACTATCTATACTGCAAACTTTTGTGGGTGCAAGAAAATCAAATTTAATCCATGGATCATTGTCATCATTATTTGCAATCCAGGCGCTTGACATATCCATTCTTACAAAAGGATTATCATTAGCGGCCTTGTTGATGGACGAACCAGTTATTTGGCCGAGAACAAATTTGTCAGAAGACAAAAGTGCCTCTGTCTCCGCACAACCTGCATTAAAAGAACGGGTTTGAGAGTGAATATATATGAATGAAACAAATCACAGGTTGAGATTGCAAACTGGTTGAGATTTCGATTCAACTTCATTTTTTTTATTTAAGATAAAGTCGAAAATTTACCTTAGGCTTATCTTAACCTATGTTTGAATCATATATTTCGACTCTCAAGATGTCTCGTTTTTTCGGATTTCTTTGACAAAATGGTTTTGTTTATTGACACCGATTATGATAAACTTAAGTTATTGAACTATTTATAATCAAGAAACAAATGGGTAATATTGTCCATAACAGACATTTTGACAAGCAAAATTGTTATCATCAGGTATATAATTACCTTGATAGTGACCGTAAAATTCAAATTTCATAGCGCTGGAATGGGAGTAATCACTCGGATGCATTCGAAGGTAACGAGATCTGATAGAAGGTTGTAAATAGATTTTGACGTCCCCATTCGTTGAATCAACTCCATAAATCATCTGTCAATGGGAAATAAGGAGCAATATGACTTTTTTCATAATGAGCAGAAATTCTAATCTCACACGAAGTATGATTGGCTCGATAGATTTATGGAGCCCGTATACTTATTCAGGCAGTCTTTACTTACTCTGGAAAGGCCATTCTCTCTGCATTTCACCAAGCTACTTTCGTTGTTGCCATAGGAGACGTTGAACGATGTCGCTTCAGCGAAAGATGGGATCACCATTTGTATCCTTATCGCCGTGACCGTTGTTTCCCCAATGAAGTCAACTTGCAGCCAAGGATCCAGGTCGTCTTCGGCCGGCATCCAACCACCGACTGAGGGGTTTGTGCTGTTTAGTCGTGCGTTTGCGGCTGCAAAACTTGAACTCTTCGAGGACGATGCACTTAACTGTGCGTCCAAGATAAGGCGACTTTCCATACCAATCGGAAAGGAATTTTCCCAGTCGTTATCTTAATTAAACGGGACAAAAAATGAACTATTTATGCATCTCGTTTATTAAATTTTTGTATCTTGCTTTGCTTTCGAGATATTTAAATCGAAATTACTGAGTTAGTCGCATCTTGGATTGCTATAAAGATAGATTGTTATTAGTTATATTACGTAACAATAAAAGGTATAACGCCAACTTTTTATCGAGACTATTTTGTGACACTGTGGCCCAAAAACATGCTTTTACCATCGTGCCTTAAATTTTTATATGAAAATATTTAAAGCACTTTAGAATTGTTATATATATAGCCGCCATTGTTCTGCGGTTGTAACGCCATCAAAAACACAGTGACACCGAATAAGATTAAATACTTATCCAAGAATACTTTGTCCAAATAAAGATATTTCAAAAAACTAGATAAGATTTAAAGAACTGATAGAGGGGTTTTATCCATAATTTTAACTGTTTTTCTATATGAAATAAGATACATTTTCCATTGTCCTTTAAGTAAAACGTAGTCAAAGCATTATTAAACCTACCAATACGACATCCTTCGTATTCCAATCTTGCTGCAGCACTATAGCTCCATGTCAATCCTTTCAGTCGCACAAAACGTGCGAAAATCGCTGGTTTTATTGTGTTCCTGACAATATCGTTATTAGTGACACTCCCTGGAAACTCCTAGTAAATGGGTGAGGCAAATACAGTACGTATAGGCGAAAATATGGGGGTAAAAACTATGTATAGCAACGTAACTTAAATATCTAAGTCCTATATCTAAGATTATAAGGATAACCGTGAACATAGCACCTTATATTAGCAACCAAAAGTAATGCTCCTATATATAGTATAGATAACTCACAAATAGTTATGCTCTTTAAGAGGGCGAAATGGGTATATCTGATTAGATGCGACGAATAGACCTTTCCCTTTTAGCTTTCAAGCGCGCAATGCGTGACGGTAGTTGATTATCAAGGTCAATTTAAGGTTGCTATTTTGCCATGTTCAGGGGCGATTTAGTTTAACAAAGAAGCAAAAAGAATCGGCAAGGTTTTCTAACAAACAAAATCGCTTCTAAGTAGAGCGATATCACAACTCGAAGTTGCTTGATAACCAACTACCATCACGCATTGCGCGCTTGAAAGCTAAATGGGGTCTAATGATGAGCTGCCTCCTCAGTTTACCACTGAATTAAGCCTGTTCAAATTCTACAATAGGTCAGTTTCATGGCGGTTAGTTCGGACACAGACAAACAGAATCATACAATTCTTCTTAGCAGTAGCAAAAGATGTGTGATGAAGGCTATAACTGGTGAAACAACCTCGAGTTTGAATATAAAAAGCTACTATAGTACCATAGCTAGTACCTTAGGTTTACCGTCGTCATCCAGAACTTCCAAAAAGTTCGACCCATCGTTGCCGAACAGTAAAACGTACTTGCTTATCCAAGCGGGGTGGCTACTTCGACCTTAGATAAGGAAAAATGGATTGAAAAGATTCTTGGAATAGGTCCTGCCACATGTTAATTTCACTGAACATCTTCATCTGACACATTGAAGTTTTTGCAGGCATAAGTTTCCGTAGGATTTGTATACGTACGAATGGGAAATCATAGCCGTACCTTGGGTTAACACAGCAGTAACCTTTGTGCTTCTCAGAAAATCGACTTGAATCCAAGGCTCATGATCATTATCACCTGCTCTCCAACCTTTGCAACTTGCAGGAGGACTAAGTCTGGCATTTCGTGGTGATAAGACAGAATTTTCATAAGTGGATGCTTCAAACTGGCTGTCAAGGATCGTCGAACGATTTGCAACGTTAAGTCGTGCAGGGTTTGAACAAGCTAAAAAGAGCAGAAAGTTGTCAAAACTGGTACATGCATGACCTTCGTTTGGTCTTAAGGCCGTTTTCCACTTCAACCGTATCGTAGCGAAACGTAGCGTATTTCATTGTTTTAAAGTCATTAGTTCTGGTCGAATGCGTCGGAAACATATAGAACAAGACGCCGTTCTGGCGTTAACTCCGGCGCACGTGCCAGTCTTCAATATAGAGCTTCTGAACATAAACAATACAGTTCGCGTATTGTTTCGCATACATATTCGCATTTAGATGCCTTGCGAACCTAAATGTTCGATCGCGAAATTCAGAAGCACATCGCAGTATAGAAGTTCAATTGTTCAAAAATGTAAATAAACCGCATGATACATTCGCTTCGTCTTACACTTTGCCTTTGGAATTCGCGCTTATATATAGTTGTATTAAATCTTCGATCCTGTGCAAACTACGCGACGTGTCAACGCGCCCATACACGACCACATCATCTTGTTAAACGGCGAAATAGCAGCGATATTATTAAAATAGGACCGAGTCTACATGTATTAAATATATTCTTACCCCAATTCAATCTAAACTTAATCGAACAGCATAAAAAGAACGGTTTATTTGTTCCTCTTGGAGGAATTGCCATATCATGCGAGCGAAATCGAATCGCGCATTGGAAAATTAGCCAAAGCTGTGCACCACAACTCTTGGGAGATAAGACTGGGACGTAGATAAATACGATCACATACACTATTCAAATACTAGTATATTTCGCGCCATTACAGACTTGCGACGACGAAAAATAATAAAAAAAAAAATAAAAAAAAAAAAAACAAAAACAAAACAAAACCGGGGCGAATTTTCAACTCCGTCGCTGACGCCGGAGTAAATAGGCTACGTTACGCTACGATACGGTTAAAGTGGAAAACAGGGCTTAAATCATTTTCACGTAACGTATGGCGTATGTATATCGCTGTTTCTTGAGTACTCGAGTGCAACTAATGCATTTCAAAGTTCAAACAATGAGACGCTGCGTTTCGCTACGACATGGCTGAAGTGGAAAACGGCTTTATTAACATCTTCAAAATTTTATTAGCAGCAAGATGGCTATGCAGCTTTCCAGCTGGGTCTGGTTTTAATTTACAAACATATTCTTCAATCAATTTTTCTTAATCTTTGACATTCTATTAGCAGCAAGATGCCTATGCAGATTGCAGAAGATGAATGACTCTATCCGGCTGCATGGGTCTGGCGCGAGCCAATTGTGTAGGAATTCAGCGTAGGTAACCCAAAATCACGAGTGTCCAAGTTAATATTACGGTCTGTGACGTACTGAACAAGGCATGCAGAATAAGTGTATGAAGTCAAAGAAGGTATATAAGGTTAGCCAATAATCTATAATAATTTTATATGTCGCTTCATTTAAAACTATCCACGAAGAGCAATAATATAAATATACCAGACAAACATCACAGACGGCAATATTGAAACTGGACGACGCCCGTTTAGGGCTACTTGGAGTCATCCCTGCACTGGTGGTAAACTTACATTCGTAACAACCGTACAGCTCCATCCTTAAAGCACCGCGTCCAGCCATTCCGATTCTAATCGGACAGAATCGGAAAAAACGAGCGACAATTGGCGGATTGAATGTATGCATTGGAGGAGCGCTTGGAGAATTTTTTCCAGATAATATCTGAAAATAAATGAGAAGACAAGAGTGTCGTTTACAAGACCCATTATTTCAGGTGATCTCACCCTCATATTTCAGCTAATCAGCGCTCGGAAGGGTTGTCAAAAAAGAAATCCATTCTCCGGTATTTTTGATTATATCTTTTGTTATTCTTCATGAAACTATAGTCCAAATTTTGTCATTACGTTCAGTTATAAGAACTATAGCTCTGGCATAAATTTGAAACCGAAATAAGGTAATAAAGTATATTTCAAGAGATATTCAGCCGTTTCAACGGAGAATGGATTTTCTTGACAACTATAGTCCCAGTCAATATATATACAATATATTAGAGATTAATTCGTTGCTTTAATTCCGTGATTGAGTTTAGGTTTAAAACGTCACATGCACGGCAAGGGATTCTAATGATCAGGTCTTTCTATAATTTTAAAATGTTCGCAGGATATGGTGTGGTTACAGATTTCGGATTCATTGTCAATAAATTGTTATACATTACAAGTGAACAGAATGAAACATTAATAAGAATTGAATTGGATCCAATAAAATTGGATCGTGAAAGCGTCATTGGTTTCTGTGGCGTGGATTGGTCAGAGCAAAATTTAGAGCAAATAAGTGGTGGAGATTCAGTCTATATTTCTCTGAGAGAAGAACATTCAAAATGAGTATACACACCTTTTTCTTTCCATTTTCCAGGTAATCTTCAAAGTGCTTTCCATCATAGCTGTACATGACTGTGAAATTCTTAAACGTTATATGATGTACCGTTGGCGATCCTTGTATAGCGATTACCTTAATTAAGAATACCCCAAAACATTAGAGTCAAAAGCCATATTTACGTTAAATGACGGGATTAAACGTGTTTTGGCCTAAAAAGTTGACCGGGCTTAGAGAGTCTAGGTCAAACTATGCCGGCTAATTTGCGAAAGGTGGAGGCAGAGCTCCATTCAACCCACTGAATAGGACAGTTAGCTCCATCGTCTTTCGTCGAAAACTTACTCAATGTCAAAGAGCAATGGTGTTCCTTATACGAAGGTAAATTCAAAAAGTCATGATCGAGGGCACGGTAATTGATGGATAGATCCATAATAGCTCCGCTTCATTAAGCAGAAAGTCATAAATGTGCACAAATTTCCATACACGAGGCGGAGATCAAACAGGAACAATAGCGTACAAAAGAAATCAGTCAGAGATAAGACGGATACATGAATATATGCCACCCGTCACCCAAAGAAGCTTCTAGCTACGGTCCTGTTTTGACCATATAGTGTCATAATGCGAGTTTGCCAGTTTGAGCGAACTCTTGGATGAACTGATAATAACAAAATCATGATGTAAGTCTGGCTCAGAACTTCAAATACCTTCACAGTAGCATTCGTTTTAAAATCTACTTGATACCATGGATTTTCAATATCTCTAGCGGCTGGTCTCCATACACCTTCGGTTTTGTTATATCTCGCTTTGTTGACCTCGTACTTAGGCTCCTCGCTGGAAGCTGACAACTGAGAATCCTGTATTGCACCACTTTCCATGCCCAGTGGCTGAGAACAAACTGAAATAGGCACGAAAAAGTAGATTAAGATTCAAAATGGGAGAGCTTTCAATGAACCGCTTGCATAATAGACCAACATTTTGATTTAGGCGACAATTTCGACACAAACAAACTTAGTGACATCGAAATATTGTAAAATACCGAAGCTAGGAAATTTTGTACACTTTTGTATTATAACCAGAAGAGTGTAACCAAATTAATTACACACTCTGTAATACAAAAATATACAAAAATTGCCTATACTTCGCTATATCTTTTGTACTACTCAACATTTTGCAGCCAAACTTGGCAATTATACTAATTTCAGTATGCTCTTTATAGCTGTGGTGATTTTGCTCCCTCTTGTTACCTATACTTCACAAGTTGGTCTATTATGCAAGTGGTCCAATTTTTCCTTTCAGTTCAGTTTAATAGTGGTTTAATTCATGTCAGTCCTGTCAACAGAGGTCAGTTTTTCACTTCTCTAGAGTTCGGCTAGGCTTGTTTAGTTAATTCTTTTCCCAATTTTTAAACACTCTCGCAAAGAAAAGAAAGCTTGGTAGATACATACAATGATAGCAGCCCAAATATTCAACTCGGAACCTTATTTTCGAAAACGCCCAGTTTCTTGGATGTAGTCGTACTCTCCTCGCAATGATCGGTGGGTAGAAGTAATTGGTGACGACAGACGAGTCATCGTTATTGCCTGAAAACGTCTAAAAGAAGTTGTAAACCGTCAATAATTATGAAACTTTCTTTCAGTAAATTGAGTAAATAATCAAAGTAAGTTCCCTAAAGTTCCCTAAATCAAGTCTAAAGCCTGTATTCCATTAGGCGCGCGCAGCGGAATTTTTCATTGTCGCCACGCTTTTATGCAGAACTGATTTCAGAAAAAGAAAGAAAAATTCAACTCCGCGCGCAAAATTCCGCGTAGTGGAGAACAGGCTTAAGGGAGTCCAATCCTACGATATCACCTTTACAAACAATGGACGATTTGCGCTTTAAACTAATTTTTGATCGAAGTAATTGACACCGCGGAAATTGGTAGACTTAGCCGTAATTCTCAATACTTTTACTTTAAATTCGGCAAGCTAAAAGATTTATAAATACTCAACAAAATATCTCTTGCACAAAAGATTTGAAGCTTGCACACGGCAAAAACAAATCATCTGAAAATGTCTGAAAATGTCTCAAAATGGCCATTTTACGGTGGCAGATGCATACGAAGAGCCTTCAAAAGTTTCCAAAACCGATATTGGAAGAAAAATTGAACTTGTTTTCAACTTATTTGATAGTATTTTCTTTGACAGCAGTTTCTGAATACTAGGATTCAAATGTGAGCAACTGATGAGATATTTGACTTCCAACACCAATTTCTGCGGTGTCGAAGTAATTAGGAGAAAATAAATCACCACAGCTAGAAAGAGCGTACTTGAATCAGTGCAAATGCGAAGTTTGGCTGCGAAATTTGGTAAAATACGGAAAATATAGCCATGCGAAGTTGGCATATTTTGTATATTTTGTATTACGCGCGGAATTGTGTAACTAATTTAGTTACAAACTTCCAGCCGTAATACAAAAGTATACAAAATTCGACAACTTCGCATGGATATATTTTCCGTAATTTACAACAATTCGCAGCCAAACTTGGCAGTTTTACTAAATTTAGTCAGCTTTTTCAGAAAGCTTCCTTTTTATCGCTGAGATAAGAAGTTAGTCTAAAGCGCAAGTCGTCTATTACAATCCCTACATTACGATCGGCGAGCCTTCTATTGTCGCAATAGTTAAGGTGAATAGTAACATAACGTGAATTATTTATTATCCAAATTAGAAGCAATTAAATGTGAATTGGAACTTGGAAGTGATTAGTGTTCATATATGACCCAAAAAATCGTAATACTCCATCGCCCAGATTAATCTTAACAACAGCTCATTAGAGGAATTGAATTTATCAACACTTGAATTTCGGGGTCGATATCCTTCAAGCAAGGTTTCTCATTTCAAGAATTTCGTAAAATAGATTTTCTAAATTAAGGATAAGAGTTAAAATGGAAGTCAAGTGCGCATCATTTCTTCACATCATAACAATGTGAGACCCTAGATAAAAATTTTACCCATAATTCGCATGTTTCAAATTTTTCTTATCAAAAACACTAGTTCATATTCATTTAAATCGCATAGCGAACCTATATGTTGTTAGGCAATACAACGTATTTCAGAAAGTATAGGAGTTCACAATGTAAACAACCTCACGAACCCAGGGTCTTTGCCCTCCCCCCCCCACAATTTTCCGTTCATTTGTGATCAGTTTCGGACGGTATCTTAAAATTGAATGGAAATTGAGCGAAAAAATTTCGTTCAATTGAATAATTTCTCTTCGTAGAAATAAAATTATAGGCGACTCTAACGCTCATATTCTGTACCTTATTATTTCCATTTTCTTCAAAATATCCAAACTCGTTTCCATCATACAGAAATGATATCTGGTATTCTGTCACCCACCGGGCACCACACCCTGGAGAAGAAGAATATTCCACAATTATCTCCTTCGACAACGCTCTTCGCTATCGCTGGCAATTTTTATTTTGTTTTAGCGCCAATACGCCAATTGGTTTTTAACGAAATCCCCCCGTTAATTTACCTTGTGTGCTGACACCCATTACGATAGTTATCATTATAAAGTCCACTTGTAACCATGCTTTTGTATCCGTTGACATCCAGAAAGTGTCATGATTTAATCTTGCACCCGAAGGATTTCCGGCGAGGCCTGAACTCGTGATCATTTCGTCGGAAATGAGCCCGCTCTCCATGCCAGCGCCAACGGAGAATGGCATTCTGGGAAAAATAACACGGGTATGAATACGGTTAAGTCAAAAGGTGAAGATCTCTCTTTCCCTTTGTATTGACTATTGAGGAATTGTGGCATTATATACAGGGGTTGATGTAATAAAATTAAGGGCCTGTTTACATGCAGTGAGTTATCCCGGCTAGGCGAGGTGGAAACTGCATATAATGAAAGACTAACCAGGTTAAGCCTTTGATGCGATATGCACTTTTTACCTCGCCTAGCCGGGATAACTCGCTCCATGTAAACAGTCTTTTAGGTTATGGTAGGAAAGGAGAAGCAAGCGAACTTCTTTAATAAAGCGAACGGCTTTAATGTCATACCAAAAAGATGGGCTTCAGTTATACAAAAATCTAAAATGTAATTTTAACGTGTCCATATCTTCTAGTCGATTCACTTAAAGCTGTCAATGCACACACAAGACTACTATAGCAATCGGCTAAGACAGCAAGCAATTCAGGACATGTATTACTGTTCTATGCTTAAACTGACAAGTCTTATCCTAATGATTTATACTCAGAGCGTTTTCATTTTGAGTATAATGAGCAACTATGGATATGTTGATGTATCACACAGTGTACGCACTCACCGTGATAGCATCCCACGAGCTCTATCCTCAAGTAGCAAGTATTGTGCCATGTTTTGGGATGTATACGAATGAAACGCGTTCGCACAAAGAGTGCATTAGTCTTCTGAGTTTCTGTATCAACGTTGGCAGAGAATACCTTGAAAAACGAAGAACCGTGATAAGTGTCATTTCCGGGACGCATGCAAGAAAAAGCAAAAGTACGAAGGGCATCGGGTTTTTAGTATCTAAGATCTTCTTCTCTTGATGGATGTCATTGAGTGGAAAGTTATGAATGTTCTGATGTATAAAGCCCGTTTTCCACTAGGCGAATTTGTCCGCGCGAACAGATAAAAAATAGGAAGCGATCCAACTTTTTTGCAACGAATTTTTTCGCAAGCCATTCACATTACTGGATTTCAGATATCGCTTCGCGTCGCGCGAAAAAATTCGCCGCCAAGTGGAAAACGGACTTAAGTGCCAATATTTGCGCATCCGTCACTCATCCACTCGTTTACATCTATCAAAAGACGAAAATCGCACTAAAAATAGCAGTGAAAATCGCACGTGTAAACGGCTTCAACTTCAAATTATCTAGTCGGCAGGTGGTGTTCACGAAAAAGAACATTTCATGATCAAGCGATATTTCTGCAAGGCAGGCAAATATGTCTGGCTAAGATAAAAACACCCGTTTCAATGTCCCTCCAAGTTGTATGGTGAACTGGGAAAAATCTTTGACCGTGGTGAAAGGTTAGCTAATAGAATTTCAACGTATGGATTTTAAAGCGTTATCGCATCATTAAGATATTAATTTACCTCAACAATTCCGTCCACTTTGTAGTCTCTGAAATCGTTCTCCATGTAACCAAACGAAACTTGGAATGTCTTGACGTAGCCTTTTACCCCGTCCAAATGTTTCCCTTGGGTTATTATTTCAGTCACTGTTGTCAACTTGTTTAGATCAACTTTGAACCATGGGGAGGTGTCAGTGTCTTTCGGATTCCACGCGTAAATATTTAGAAGGCGTCCTTTAGTCGCCTTTGTGTCTGGCTTTTTAAAGCTGGATGCTTGGACTCTTTGAATCGGGATTTTGACTTCTCCGCTCCTCATGCCAAGAGGCTGGCTCGTGTTACACTCTTAAAATGGCGTAAAGGATGCCACTACTTTCTTTGTTTCAAGGGTATGATGGGGTGTGATTTGGGGTGAAGACAGTGACGATGGTTGACAGTGAATGATAAGGATGTGGTGGATAATCATGGTAATATTTGTGGTAATGTTGATACCGATGACGGAGTGTGGTTAATGGGGGTGATAATGATGGTTGCAATGGTTTGGTAGCGATGATTAGGATGATGGTGAATTATGGTGATAATGACGGTGATGATGGCTGATTGTGGTGATAATTATCACGAGGTTTGAGTGGAGACAAAATAGCTTGAAAGCGAGCCGGGCAATTTTAAACATTGTTCATTACGAAGTTTTCATTGCCACACGGCAAATTCGGGAGATCTTTTTTTTTCTGTTGGTTTTTTGAACGGCAATGACATCAGTGATGACAGTCGATAATGGCCATTCATCTTACTCAGATTTTTAGATACACTGCAATTTGCACAAAATAGCTAACATCTTACCTAAAATAGCGCCTACATTCGCAGTTAGGAATAACTGCAAAAAAGAAAAGAACAAAACATTCTGATGAGCAAATTAACAAGCAAATTCTACCGTACATGTATTCCAATAGCCCTGTCTGGACTTTATTTATAACTTACCAAGACGAGTGCGTAAGACCGCTGTGCCAGCAAACTGCGGGAACAGTCATGCGCCATTGCGCTTGACTTGAGGTCAAGGCACCTGTAAAGCCAAAACACAAATCACGTATGTCTTTTAATTGTACCACCTGAAGTTTATCATTTTATCACTTGGAAACGCAACCTTGTCACATCCTAGCTTTTACTATTATTAATTCGTTTTATTATTCGTTTATCGGCAATTGGAAGGAACGCGCGCAGAAATGCAGCGAAAAATATTTTAGGATTTAAGGAATGGGTCCCAAGATCGGAAGAGGACACTCAGATCTATCCTCTTAGTTTTCCTGACTATCTATGCACGAAACGATCTAAATTAAAAGAATCTACTTCAGCATAAATTTCTAAAGTAATTTTTGAATATCTCACGTTAAGTGTTTTTTTAGGTTTACAACATATTTTACAGCCATGGAGACGAAACAGAAGTTTACTAAAAGCGGGCGAGTTTTGCAGAAAACAAGTTAAACACGCACTGCTAGCGCAGTGCAATACATACCTGGCCTCGAAATCAAAAAGTCTTCGTGAAAATTTCCTTTTGGAAAGCTCTCAACTCGATGTTAACTAGACAAAGTTCTCGTGAAATAGCTTTAACTTGTCCATTACCTTGTCTACCAAACCTGTCTATTCGAGAACTTGTTTGAATAATTAAAGCTTCAATTATTCAGTTTGTTGGCAAGGTAAACTGGTTGTGGGTTCTGGCCGTGTAAACATCATGAATTTAATTGCGAATAATCAATATTCGGACAGGAGAATGTAACTGAAAGTACAGCTTGTGCATGCCTTTGGCGGTCAGCATTTCGGGCAAGCTTCCGCCTGGATTCGGAAAATATGGAGAGTAAGAAGGTATATTTTCAAATGCATACCTAATCATAAATTTCACATATTGCAATATGAATTACAACGAATATAAACAATGCGCGGAGTTCCCACGATCCAATTTTGTTGGATCCATTTCACCTCTGATGGATGTTTTATAGTCTGTCGACTTGCAATGTATGTGGGCAGCAAATAAACCTAAACCAACGCAGTACTGCTTTATTAATAAATGACTTCATTCCATACATCAGAAGGGAATTGGATCCAACAAAATTGGATCATGTGAACAGACCTTAAGAACATTTGGTTTTAAAAGAAACAAATAATGCATGCAGAACACGAATATATGAATATCTGCCCATGTCAAATTATGAATCGAGACCACATGTTGTTAACTGCGTCTAATTACCAAGTTAGCAAGTAGCAGCAAATAACAGATACAGAAATACCTTGTTAGATACAGGTCGTACACGATTCTGGTAAAAGAAGTTAGGATTGAACAGAGAAGGCGACCGATTATATGAAATGATTTCCTCAAAATCTTAGTCGGCCAAGGTCTGCGACTTTACACGACTTTCACGTCGGCCCTTTCCAGCAAGACTGCATTCAAAATTGACCATTGAGAACTCGATATTCGTCTCCAACAGTTTACAATTTTATTACAACAGTGCTCCACTTAAAGTCATATAAAGAAGCATACATTTTTCAGTTTTTCTAACAAAACTCGGCCATGTGAACCGACCGAGCAATGCAATTTGTTTACCAGTTTGATAACGTTGAATTTCCATCGCATGAAATGAGAATAAGAACAATGGATGGTATGAAAAAACTCTTCAAACTTCATTATCTATTGTTTCAGAAACCGGCATACGATGCAACCAAAATCCGACGTATACAAAACAGGGCTTAACGGGGAAATCTAAGCGGCTGTTCATATGAGCCCGGCCGGTTACCGAGATTTAACAAAGCGTGAAATACTAAAATGCACTTTGAGGTATTGAAATGAGTAAATAACACGATTCTGGTAGTCGTGTAATCATACTTAGAACAATAGCATGTGATTGTTCTGTTTCAAAGACTTATTTCAATGCTTCAAAATCAACCCCTAAGCCTAAGGGGATGTTCACATGAGCCCGGTTACCGTGATTTATAACGAAGCGTAAAATGAACTTCGAGGTATTGGGAAAAGGTTTTAAAACAAAACAATCGCATGGTATTGTTAGGATGATAACACGACCACCAGAATCATGTTATTTACTTATTTCACATTATGCGGAATATAAGTGATAATTTGTTATCTTGTAAATACTGCTAATAGTGTTAATTTCAGCAAAAAATGAGGTTAAGCGGTGGTATATATTTCACTAAATCCTGTTACAACTTATTATTTTACATTATAGTAATATGCTTACATCAAATACATTTGAGAACACAATATTTAGTGTACTGTGGCCGGTTGTATAAAACTCTTTAACTACATTTTGCATATACAGTTAAATGCTAGTTAACTCAGAAATACATGACTCTGTTTGGACAAGTCTGTCCTTAACTACAGTTAGAAGTTAATGAGACTTTTATACAACCGGGGCCAGTATTTTCATCAGGATATTCACACAGTTTAGCCTCGGTTCATATCATGCGGGAATCAACAACCCGTTGTGTTGGCTCATGAGAAAAACTTCCCTATGGCATGGCATGGCAGGATCACATAGTGAAAATTACTGATTAAACATGCAAAATCTACGTCTAAATTTATCAATAAACAAAATGTTTTGGCCTGAATGTCTTGTAAATGCTACGATTCTAAAACCGATATCGAAATACAGCATCGATGATATTCCAGCGAGTCCTGGTCACGAAATCACACACAAAAGAATCCTTTCTAGTCCGGAGTATAGCTCTTCCTGAGTGGATAGTAGCCTCATTGAAGTCAAATAACACTTCAAAATAAATGCGTTCAGTAAATACAAGGTTCGTGCCAAAATTCTGTGCCAAAAGTTTTATAAATTTTTATTGCGATGCTGCAGTACTTGCAAGTCTTGGGATTTCTCATACCTGGTATGAGGTTCCTAGAAACAACTTATTAAGTACATATTTCCCAGAATTTTTTATACAAGCATTACCCAGCTTAATATTACGTTAAAAATACTTCGATTATTACCCCTGACTATCCCTTCCCAACTACTACTAAAGAAAATGCATGCAAAAGTACGCGACTATTTCGCGAAAAGAAATTACAAAATAAAGCGATAAAGATTACTTCACGTTGCACTGAAACCTTACTCTCTACTTCTATGATACGTGTTAATGCGCTCAATACAGCTCCCGGTATCCCGGTAACTACAGTGCCTAAGAAAAGTAATAGGTCGCAAAACACAACAACGTCTCACAGAACAACTCCCCTAGAAAAAAAAGGAAAATGACACTCTTTTTACAAGAACCAATTTGATAAAAAGATTAAACATGATTTTTTTAAAAAAAAATAGAACAATAGTAAACTGAGGCTGGCAGGCAAAAATTGTACATCATACGTATAAATTTATTCATCCCTATATTCATATTAAGACGGGTTTTTACTATCAACTTTCCCGTCTAAGATGAGTTTCCCGTCCCTAATATGAACTCGGCAATTGGCTACAAACATCACGGCAGCCAAGCACATGAAAAGTTTACAAAATCACTTTAATCACTGTAATTCTAATCGTTGAGGCGAAAGAACGACCAGCGATGAATTAAGAAAAACATTTTTGCACCAGTACGCGTAATCAGATTATGACACTCCAGTGATACACTGATCTACTAATACTACAACTACTACTTACTTCCATCGTCTACACGAGGTCAGCCCTGGGTACGTCCCCTGTTCTACCATGATCGATAGCTGCATATTCGGTGGGTTGAGCGCGGCCTTCATCTCGTTTCTTCGAACCACCCGAGTCCAAGGCAACCGTATCGAGTGTTGCATACAACTACAAAAGAGAAGAATTAGGCTGAGATTAAGGATTAAAGTTAACTGTAATCTACTATAAACCTAATCTAAGACCTGATCCTAATCGTAATCCTAAAAATTAAAGTCGTGCAATTACGATTCACCGGACTCGGAATTTTTACCGTACAAGGTATACAACACTTCCACTTTCACATACCGGTTTTCCCTGCCTGTTTTCCTTATCAACTTGTGCATAGACAGGTGGTTGATTCTTCTTCTTTGGTTTCTCTCCAGAGCCTTCACCGCCATCGCCGGGTTTAACTGTGTCGTACTCGTTGTCTCCCATCTCATACTGGTTGTCATTTCTACCACCAGGGCTTACATCACGTTTTCCTCTGGAAAAACACAGCAATAGATTTTAGAAAAAACATTCAATACTTATCTGTTGAATATGTCATTAAAATGCTTGGTAAAACTCTGTTTAGCGTGCAAGTCAGTAAATTTCTTATCGCATAGAACTATAATCTTGGCCAAGAGACGACGGCGCACGCTGACACAATATAGTTTGCTACGTAGTTTAATAACTATTGTGGCAACTTCCACTTTGTACTTAGCAAATTTCGAACTCTCTTCTTTGAAATACTCTCTCTAGTGTTGAGTGGTTTGAAATAATGGATGAGTTTAAAGCACACCAAACACAGTACTTTGCACGACGATTCAAAATACATGTGGACACTACGTAAATGCTTAAATGACCATTCATTTACCTGTATCCATCCTCTAAAAGAAGAGAATGATAAAAAAACATTGAGTTAACAGAGCAATCGATCAAGAGCAATAAATGACATTTCATGAGCAGATTATCAAACACGCAATTTAAAATTCAGTGTTTGTAACAAGAAGTGAAAGAAAACTTAAAGAAACACTAAAAGGCTGTTGATATGGAACTAGGCTGACCCGGCGAGCAAAACAAACAACACCCGGGATTGATTTAGAAGGCAGTACTACCATATGGGACCTAACTAAGAAAAGAGTGTTTTAAACTAAATTTCCAAATCCTTTTATTCCTGAGATTTTGTTGGATGAAAAGGGATTTAAATTTTTCGCAAAAAATTATTCCACTTGGTGCAGACTTACCGAGCTTTTCTGCTCTACCTGTCCCGTCAGGTTTCATATAAGCAGCCCCTTAGTAATAAAAATTACTCCAAATGTATCTGTCATTCAACTGAACTCAGGAAATGTAGAAATAAATTGACACAACTTACTTTCCCCTGATCTAAAGTAGAAATAATAAACCACACCAGCAATAATCAAGATGAATGCCAACACGCCGATAACTATTCCAGCAATCACACCAGGAGGTAAAGGTTCATCCTTAGTTTTGTCTTTGCCTTTAACTGAAACAAATAATGGCAAATTCTGATGTTATCTATACTATATCCTAACACAAAAATAATGCAATATTTTTAATCATAATTCTGCTCGATTTGGAATACGGGCAATAAGATGAAGGCACTTGTCGTGAATTTAGTTGGAGAAGAACCTCCGATACCAATGATTAGTTGCTGCCAGGAAATAGTAAAATTGTTTCATAAACATACTGTTAATTCAATTAAGTTGCCCTTTCAGAAAAAGGACAGGTTACAAAAATATCAAAATTGAACCGCGAGAGTAATTACTGGGACCACCTATAACATTTGATCATCTGAATTACTTAAAAGTTTAAATTGGCAACCTCTTGAAGCAAGGCGAAATTACCTAAAATTTATTTTTATCTACAAGATTTTAAATGGCCACACCGCACCCAACCTTAAAAAAATTTTCATCTGAACTATGAAAGAGATATGTACACAATCTTAGAAACAGAGAAACTGATCTAGCACCACCCATGCCGAAAAAAGAATTTGAAGATACTTCAATTATGATGCAGCCTACATTGGAACAATTTTCCTGGAAACATGAGGCAAAAATTGCTGAATCCGCAATTTCTTAATGAATTGAAACTTGATCGTTATCCTCAACTGTATTTTGTTCTTTAGTCTAAATAATTTAGCTTTAATTCACGCCCTTGATGGAAATCAGCCAACCACTGGCTGTTGAGGCTAGCGTGATAAAATAAAGTTTTGTATTGTATGTACATGTCCTACATATTTATGGCTAAATTTGATATTTTGCGTTTGCAAAAAACTTAAGACCACACAAACACATGCATGTTTGTGTCATTGCATTACAGGATAGCGAAAAGTGAAAAGCTATTATCTCTTGCATGTACGCTCAAAGTTCCAGGTTTAGAATTTTTAAAGACAACTTCAATTGAATCAGCTGTAGTAAATTAACTCTTTTGATTTGAAAATTGACTACCGCTTTGCAGATCCTCCCAGGCACGGTGTACCTTATTCCCTCACAGTTCCCCCACCCTTCCCTTTCCCCTTCACGGTGTACCTTCCCAGTTCCCCCCCACAATCCCCCTCGCATTATTCAGTTCACAGTTAATAGAATATACATGGTTTGGAGACTTAATAAAAGTACAATAGAACTCATTAACTATTCCAATGTCAATATTTCACTCGTGAAACAGCCAAATGTTTTGCAACTGTCCGAACTCGAGAAATCGAAATTGCTAATATTGACTTGATATAGCGTCCAAACTAGGAATCGGTAAAACTTATTGTTTATAAAAGACATGAAAAGCTTCTAGAGACTGGATAATCGTTTCGATAAATCCTTTTTAAAAATGTGATTAAAGATGACGGCTTTATTTTGGCTGCTTCGCGTGCAAAATAAAGTTGAAAATGCAAATGTACCGTGCTAGCTCTAATGTTACCTTTTGGCGTTGTTGTGCCTTTCGATGGATTCGGCGAATTTGTTGTTGTTGGTTTTGCTGTTGGTGTTAGCCCTATTTTACCATTTGGAAAAACAAAATCTCCTTAGGGAGCACAACACGTTTCTTCAAAGTAAGTAAAGGTATAAATTCAACAGGTGTCTTTTCTCTTTTTTTGAATCAAATCAAAGACGTATATACATAGAATTCGAATTAGGATTTGATTCCCGTAAAAATGTTATCCGTCATTGTTTGATTCGTCTTATGATCAACATGCCTAATATAATCACTTTGTAATTCACCGATACAGTCAAAGATATTAACTCAAAAAATAATAAATTTCCAAACACTCGTTCCCAATCAAGACGCTATACCAATCAATTACAGCAAAGTGTTTCAAATTAAATAATATAAAAGTTTATACATAGCAATATAGGTATGTTTCCCGCGGGTGTACTCTATCTGCAATCACGAGGGTAAATTTTGTTTGCATCTACCGAGTATCTCCCAAATTGCCCTAAAAACTTACCACACAATTCTACAAAAGCCAGAAACGGAAAGAATTTCATATAATGTGCAATTTTACTCTATTTCTTAATTCATTCCATGTTTCTTCCTCGCGCGTGTGTTCATCGCAACATCGCGATGTTCAAAAAATATAGTCCTACCACATACCTGTTACTTTCAAGTCTTTAGAAACTGAATCATTTCCCAGATTATTCTTTACAAAACATTCGTATCTTCCAGCATCACTCCACTTCACTGGAGATATGGTTAACGACTTTTCAGTGCTGACTTCGGTACCATTATGGGTTATATTATAACTTGGTTCAGGAACACCATCAGATGAACATGATATGGTAAATGAGCCACCAAGTGAAGCTAGATTACTTGTGAATATTAATTCTGGTTTCCTCGGTTTAACTGTAATTAAACAAACGAAACTTTAATTTCACAAATGAAAGTGGAAACATATGAGAGCATGAGAGAGTGGTAAAATATTGTTTATATTGGCCTGGCAAATTGCTATTCCACATCATTTTAGGCGGTTTAGGCCTTGGCGGGCCTGTAACCTTGATGTCAGGTTAGCGGCCCAGCAACCATACTTACATTGAACTATTATCTTTATTGTTTTTTCATCTTTATATCTTTCATCAGGGTCGCTTTCAGCGACACATTTATAGGTTCCACTGTCTGTATTATGAACATTTTTGAGAGTCAACATTTGTTCTTTCTTTCCTGTTTCACCAATCTGCTCGCCATCTTTAAACCAGGTAACATCAGCTGGTGGATTTCCATCTTTATCTTTACACAGACAGCTAAAGTTATCACCTTCATTTAGCGTCGTGGTACCAGAACAATTTGATGTCACATTTGGTTTTGCTGAAATGTAATTGATTCATTAAACTTCCAAGAAAGGGTGATATCTCTATAAGAGCACGAAAAAGCGATAAAACTTATTGTAGTGATAGACGCCCGTCGTCGTCGCAAATTTCCCTTTGTTAACGGTTTTTACCATCTCTGTTCTAGTTGCATCTCAGAAGTTCTGGCCCGCGCTTCCACTCATGTTATTTGTGAATAATATAGACAGCAGCAAACATAAACCTAAAGATGGCTTTGAAGACGCGTTAAAAGTCAATTCTCGCTTCCATCGTTAGAAACAGACACAAGGAGAATTCATGGTTAAATCAATGGTCCCCACAAATAATTTGAGAAAGCTTGGTGCATGTTGTATTTAATAATTTTTTTTTTCAAATTATTTAATATAATAGCTATTTTTATAGCTATTTTTCCAGTAGTTATATCATATTTCATGGTTCTTTTTGGACGATGCAAAGCCAAAGGAAGCTTCTTCGACTAAAAGTACCTTTTTATACAACCATGAACCATGCCCTTAAGTTTCTTTTCATAAAAGCTTACCCGTAATATAAACGTTTAAATAAGAAAGACTGCTACTTCCATCATCCAGAGTAAGCTGAAATTCATATTTTCCATTGAAATCCTGATCAACATTCTCTAAAGCCAGTGTTGCTGGTGGAGTTACACTAACTCCAGGTAGACTTTTGCTGAATACTGTAATGTCACCAGTCGAAGATATACTCGCAATTGTTTTTCTTGCTGTGTCTCCTCTACGAGTGAAAAACCAAGTCCGAATAGAAGCATTACCATCAAATGTCCACTTTATTTCATTATTTAATTTATGAGGAAATAACTTCAAGTCTGTCCCACTTGGTGGACTAATTGCTCCTAAATAATCAAAAGGTTTAACTTATTATATATCTATATATAAACAAATCAATAAATAAACAAATTATTTTATTTCGCTACACTGTGTTTCGTGAAACTTTAAAAATGTAAATTACGCACGCCTCGGCTTGTGCACTCTCTGAACGAACACGTGAATTGTAGTGAATTCATTTTGGTCCCGCTCTCATTTTGCACATGATGTTCACATGTTAAACGGGTGATAGTAATAACATACTTAAATTTTAAAGGTCATTATTACATACGGTAATAATAAATGCCATCTAAACCTTTGTTTGTTGTCCACCCTCCTTTTAAACCAACCATTGCCCGGTCAAAAGCCCGGAATGAGAAATTGGTGAGGGGAAGGACATATTAGTAGTAGCTATCTATTCGTTTTATGAGGTAAGCAATAGTGATCTTGTGTTTTGCCGCTCGCAATTCAACCTTTCATATATATGGTTCACGAATTTGAACAGTCTTAATCAGGCAGAGAGAGGATTTGGATTCCATCCCGATACAAAACAAGTCAAAAATGTAAAAAAGAAATAGTATAAAATATTCTTCAAACACACTATGTAGCACAAAATGCTTTTCTCAACCACTGAACCACAGTTAACTATGCTTGCGCCCAGTGTTTTTTTGTCCGCATCGCCCCATTCCCCCCGTGCAACTTTGGGGGTATGGGATATATATATATATATATATATATATATATATATATATATATATATATATATATATATATATATATATTTCAGTCTGCTACCTTCATCAGAGTTCTATATCTTCAAGCAGTAGAGACAGACTATTATATAATATGTCACTATCCTTGCATGACTGGTATGTAAAGGGTAACTATGGTAAACACTGAGAACATAAAATAGGTGGTAAATTTGACAAATGAAACATCTGTTAGTGGCGTAACTGCCCACTGTTGTCATTCTACTAGCTCAGTTTATCTACACAGAGTACACAACAGTCACATAATGTGTAGTCATTTTAGATATACATATTAAGCAGAATGTCGATCATAACCCTCAAACAAAAGCAGACATGTGACTGCATACAAAAATCCTTAGAATCTTAAAACACATGCCAATTATAGCACTTACCTTCACATGGAAAAAAGATAAAACAAAGACCAAACAAAATGAAAAAACAATGACCAGACATCTTGCAGCCAGCAATGCCTAAAAAGAAATACAATGATTACCGGTACTCAGCACTATAGTCATATACCTATTCAAGCACATTTATTTATTCATGCAATTTAGTAGTTCAATATAGCCTCTCTTTTCCAACTCACTCATACAAACATTTCACTATTGAAAACTATGAAACAGAACATTCCTGCAATCTAAACATGACTATATGTGTCGTTAATATAAAATTAGAATGGAATGGAATGTTTTGTTCCACAATGTGAATTTCAAGTTATTATAATCATTCATGTCTTTAGAAATTTATTGTTTTCACAGTCAATGAACACCAAAATATTAGCATAGCAGGACAAATCGTCAGGCTGGCTACGCTACTGTCAAATAATCGAATAACAATGTGATTTTAAATTCCTAACATGTTACCTTGGAGAAAGAACAAATGTTACATTGTCTTGTTTATTTATCAATATGAAAAACCAAAAATCTGTACATTTTCACAGCTATTTTGTGCAAAGTATTTTGCAAACAAAATTAACCAGTAGAAAACAGGATAATCATATTCAAAGTACTATTAGAACTACTATAGGATTAGGGCACACCTTATTGCAGTAATTATCATTGATAATTATAGTTGCCATTCAATTTATAAACATGGCTTCATTATAATATTGTTACTTATAACTCCTAAACTACCCTATCCTAATACAGCTGTATCACAATCATAAGGCCTAAATGCATGCAAGTTAAAGTCAGCATTCCCATCTATTGTCTATCTATAATACACAAATAAAGAAATTATAGAAACTAGGAAAATTGTTTAAGTACATAATGGAAACTTTTAGTTGTAGAAAAGCTGAAATGGCACCCAACACGCAAAATCATATTGTATTTCCTAGAATCTTGGGAACAGATGTCATTTTCCTCTACCACCCAATGAATATTTCAAATTTTATACTTCACAAATTAGGTAAATACAAGATGTTAAGAAAAGTACCCCAACTTCCAGTATTTAATGACTTTAGAATACTTAAATACAGTATATAAAAGTTTTTAAAAACACATAAGAGCAAATAGATTATGAGTTTTTAAATTTTAGCCTTCGCTGTAGTGAATAATGTAACACATGCCCAAGTCGTAAAAGCTCTTTTTTTCGACAAACTATTGTTGACATGAACGTCGACGTCAGGACATGAAACACTTCCTTCGCCTTCGCATGTTAAATGCCGCATTAAAACGTTTCTTCGACACACGACGTTCAAACTAAACCTTTCCCAAAAGTATTATCCCCCAATCTAGCAACTATTGATGGCAAAAATATATTTACATCATGTATATTTAAGTATACCTTTCAGCAAATTATAATCTTGCAATGTTGGAGTATTAATGACTCATGTATATAAATGAAAGTTTCAAGATATTTGGCGTATAGGGACAAACCAACAACCTAAACTAAACTTACAGAATAATAGTGTTGAAATACTTCTTACAATAAATTTTTCTTGTTCTTCTACCAACGAGAATCCCCACAAAATTGGGTTCAATTTCCTGATTCGAATAACATAATATTTCGTTGCGAGGCGTGTTTATTTTATACATAAATTTGGGTTGAAATAAAACCTTCGTAACTTCGTAGAACTTCCGTTTTTTATGGGAGTGGCGTATTAACGATTCCTTTTAGTTGCCCTAGAATTCCTTAGTTTTCCGCCTACGGGCTACTACGGGCTACTTACCTCGGATTTTTGAATAAAGAAACGAAGATACTTTGCACCGCTGAGTGACCTTTCTATATATGTCTAATTATTCTATACCAGCAAGGTAATCTATACTAAGGGCCAAGGCTACCAGATGAATTGCCTCACGCTCCAGTCCAGCGATGCAATTGGTTTTTTTTGATGCCAAAATTCGGCGAAGTTAAGTTTACGAACTCCACTAAAAATTCTCAAAAACTAAAAAACTGTATGATGATAAGTTTTCCAAATACATAGTTAAAAGCCAGGTTTACACTACACTTAATTTAAAGCCCAACAATAATATTATTGGTATCTGAGTCTAACTCAAGTTTTATCCGTGCTTATAGTTACTTTGGGAGAAAAAATCACTCAAAAAAGGCCCATCTGACAGACTCACCTTCAGGACCCAGCCCCCAGGGTCACCCCAAACTGAATATTAATTGATGGCATATATGATCTAAGTTTACATACCGTTAAAAACCGCTCTCAATCAAGGGCATATAAGAGATAAGGCCTATATGTGAATATACATGCACTCTCCAATTGAGCATCTATGGACGTCCTTAAATCCCACGCATGCTCAGCTTCGTATCCAGGCGCTTTAATAGTAAAATATATAACGTTGCATTAACTTATTGTATAGAGGTCAGTTTAAAAAAGGCGAGCGCGCATGGGTGCTTGGGGTGGTTTTGACAAAATCAGCTGGTTCAACTTAGAGATTGATAATTGTTTTCGACATCTCTGGTTTTGTTAAACTCTGCATAATTTGACTCATCGTTATTTACACCGTCATTTCCTGCAACAATCCCACTCAATGATTGATAATGATCTTCCTTGTTCGTTTTTTTAAGATCCAGTTCTTGATAAGTTGAATCAACTTGAAATGCTGAAGGTTCAGGGTTTGATAGTTGAGGTTTTCTATTTTGGAATTTTCGGCGGGAAAATGAAACAATTTTTGGCAGGAGAATCCCGATGATAATTCCAGACACCAAAGTCACAACAATAATGTACCATTAAGTTTTACAACTTGTATCATTTGAACCTGTAAATAAATATACAACACATCTTTCGTTGAGACCTGGCAAATCGTGCGAAGCATTGAGTGAAACAGCAACAATTAAACTATAGAGAAAGTTTAACATTTAACGTTGGTAGATGATAGTAAAATCCCTGGAAAAATTGCTTTCAATGTTTTAATTTTTTTAAATATAAATGAGAATTTGCTGTAGTATCTTGCCTTACTTTTTTCCTCATGATCCATGGACCTGCTTGTTGATGACTTGTTTGTTTTAGATGTTGTCATTGACTTTGTCGTTCTTGGCCAACTCGGTTCATCTTTACCCACTAAAGAAAAATATATATGTATATATTTGTTCAAAAGCCGGTTAGCTTAACCCTGTGTTAAAGCAAATCTTTCCATCGATACACGTCTCTGATTGGCCAATTCTGTCCTTAACTAAAGTTAAATGTTAACTTTTATACAACTGGGCCTGGTATTTTGTCTCAACGCCAAATTAAAATCATCCACTTACTATTGTCTTTTAAAATTTTGGTTAAAATTTTGAGCTTGCACGAATTTCAAAAAACAAACATATTTCACGTTCGAACAGCATTTTCCTATACGTTTCTATTGAATTTGACCTGCATGTCCCTGCCTCGGTGTTGTTATTTTACAATACAATTACTTAATGGTTTACAGTGTATGGATGGCCTGATTCAAACACCAAAATTCCTCGCCTTGGTCTCGTGTTTCGCGTTCACTTATTAAGTTTCTTTTTTTTTCCACACGATATTTAAAAAAAATATAGACTTGAAATATATATATATATATATTTATCACATACTTGTGCCTTTATCAGGGCGATAACAGGGTGACATAAAAACGATATCGTCACTGATATTTGCCGCTGTCAAAACAAAGATGGCTGACTCGAGCAGTTCGAGGTTTGTTTCAGCCGATGTCGATTGCTTTATAGAAGAAAAAGAAGTATGTGATAAACAGGTTATCACAATCGGGACGAGGTGATATCAGTTTTATCGCTTTCAGGACGATATCATAAATGTCCCTCGTTCGCTGCGCTCACTCGTGACATTTATGATATCGTCACTCAAGCGATAAAACTGATATCACCTCGCCCCTCATGTGATAACCTATACATATATATATATATATATATATATATATATATATATATATATTATATATATATATATATATATTATATATATATATATATATATATATATATATATATATATATATATGTACCTGTTACTTTCAAGTCTTTAGAAACTGAATCATTTCCCAGATTATTCTTTACAAAACATTCGTATCTTCTAGCATCACTCCTCTTCACTGGAGATATGGTTAACGACTTTTCAGTGCTGACTTCGGTACCATTATGGGTTATATTATAACTTGGTTCAGGAACAC